AAATATGGTGACATATATAGCATCCTTTAAATTTTTTTAATTCTTTCCCCAGCAGTAATAAATTTTATGATATTTGAAGTAACGTCCTCACGCTGTAATAACTTAACATCATAAGCATCATAACACAAAGGCAAACAGACAGAGAGCCAATCAACCAGTCATAAAACCAACCTATTAATTATTATCAATCATCTGTAAAACGTAAAGCTGTACGGCACACTTCATTCGCTTGTATCGGCAACACAATTCACTTGTTAGTTGGCAGCAGCCAAAGCAAATCAAATACTTGGATGTATTAGAAGAACGGTGGTGAGCAGAGAGAAGTCAATCATTATAAACTTGTATAAAACATTAGTTTTATTTTTTTCATTAAAACATCGCCCTTATCTCGATTAATGTTCACAGGTTTGGAGTCCAGATATGCAAAAGGACAAAGACATTCTTGAACGGGTACAGCGTAGAGCAACAAAGATGATCGAAGGAGTTGGAAAACTAGAATATGGGATAAACTGAAAAAATGCGGATTAACAACACTAAAAAGGAGAAGATGCAGAGGAGATCTGATTCAAACATATAAATTAATAAGAAGAAACACTGTTCACCAGGTTTTTTCAACTAGAAAAAAGGAAAGAATTAAGAGGTCATAGATACAAGCTCTTCAAGAAGACAGAAAATCTAATAAAGCAATGATTTTTCAGCAGCAGGGTGTAAACGCCTGGAACGAGCTGAGCGACGAAATGGTTTCAGTGTATTCAATCAGCAATTTTAAAATCAAGCTAGGATACTAAGACGTTTATTTTGTAGTGTTTCTTACACAGATGCTAATCTACTGAACCACTTTAAACTTTGTTGTGTTATGTTGGGTTAGTTGGATAAAAAATTTTAATTTAAATAATACAAAAGATTAGCAGTTCTTTATTCTTCTTGATTTTGAAAAAAATTTTTGATTTGCAAAATTTGAAATTAACGTATTTGAGCAAAATTATCATTTTAACTAAAAAACATAATTCGTTTTCGAAAGCTTTGAATTACACACAAAGCATAACAATAAAAATGAATGAATGAAAAATCCACTTAACGCAGCGATGTTGATTCGGTAAATTAACTCGCAAATGGCAGAAATGAATTCATAAAGAAACAACACATTTTGGCAAAAGTCATACCGACAGCTTTTTCTAGCTTGGTGCTTCAATTCAAATAGTTTGTATTCATTATGTGGACCTCAAATTCTTATAATTTATTTACATGTCGAATTGTATAGAATTTATTTAAAAATTCATTTAAGTAATATGATTATGCAAATAGTGTTTTATAAATAGTAACGTTTAATAAAAGTAAGTTCAATTATTCCCTCGATAAACCTACGCGGCGTATGAAGATGGGTGGACTAGGTGGAGTGCGGTGCGCACTAACGTAAGTAGACGCTACACTATGTGGTGTACGATGCGCAATAACATATGAAGACGTTACACTATGTGACGTGCGGTGCGCACCAACGTATGAAGACGCTACTTTACGTTGCATGCACAGATGAATTAACATTTCTGTACTCTAAGAATATACATTTTTTTCTAGTTCTGTAGCAATTAAATTAAATTACTTGTCATTTCACCCCTTGTACTTGGCGCACGGGAACATATGTACCCCCGCCCCCCTCAGCTACGCCTTTGATGTGTTATGGGTCTCGAAATCCGCTTTGAACTTCGTAAGTGACGGAGAAGTAGTTAGAGAAGGAGGAAGACGGTTTCAGGAAATAGGACCAGAAAAGCGACCATATTATAGAATCGCTAATTGTGCATGTGCACGGAGCGGAGAAAACTTTAAATAATTTTTGTTCGCAGCCGTAACGGAACTCTGACCTCATTTTGATTCTTCGAATATTCAGAAATATATCATACAATTTAAAATTTTATTTACTATGTTACTATTATCGTCCACAAACAATTTTGTTCATTTATAAATTTAAAATCTTGCAATTTCACATTGGAAAAAAGTTATTAATTTTTTATAATAAATTGTTCTAACAGAAACAAAAGTTTTTTAAAGGTGAAACTAGATTTCATTGTTTCTGACTTTTTAATGATGTCTTTGAAAACGTTAATAATTCTCTGGCTGTGTGATTTGACATTCGTCAGTTTTTCAAGCACTTTTGCTAAATAAAAACTTTTTTTGAAGTTTTGAATTTGATGATTAACAAGAGCATCAACAACCGCTAACTGAAGTCTTTCCACCGCTTCTTCGTTTTCTAAATTGGACCTGTCTAAAAAATTGTTTACACAAACAAATTATAAAAAAAATCCACTCAAGTAACAAAAAATATTTACGAGTTATCAAGCAGAGGGCCAGTAAACATGACGTTGTCGATAAGTCAAAGGTGTTGTCATCATCTAATTTCAAATTGCGGCTGAATTGTACTACGCTGTCCAACCATGCATACAAAGGAAGTTTCCTGTATTGATTCCAATCTATCACTATTCCATTGCAAAATGTTAAGCTGTGTTCAGACAGGTTTACTCTGTAGCCAATTACATTTATATACTTAGAGTTATTCAATCAATAAACTTAAAATTTAATTATTAAATTAAGATTTTATAAAATAATCAACTAATACAGGGTATTAAGGGATACATCGGGCATGTATATAAAATAACATAACATAACGTAGCAGGGTTTAAAGTGGTTCGGTAGACTAGAGTATGCGTGAGAACCACAACCAATTCCGTGTCCTTGTATCCTAGCTCTCCGAGTTTGACCTTGAAACTGCTGGTTGATTCCACGGGTCCGTCTCACCACTCAGTTCATTCCATGGGTTACCACACTACTGCTGAAGAATCTTTGCTTGACTGGACTTTCTGTCTTCCTTAAAAACTTGTATCTGTGACCTCGTAATCTTTTTCTATTCTCCAGCTGGAAGAATCTGGTAAATGGTGTTTTGTTCAAGTCCGTTGACCATCTTTATTACTCTCTACTCTACTGTACTTTCTCAAGAATGTCTGTTCATTTTCAGATGTGGACTCCAAACCTGAGCACAGAATTTAAGATAAAGGCGAACTTAGGTTTTAAACAAAGTTAAAATGATCTCCCTGCTGACCACTGTTCTTCTAATGATTCCAAGTATTGGATTCGTTTTGGCCACTGCCAAAATAAATTTTCTCGATGTTTTTGTATATAGATTCTAAATATATGACATCGTTTTTCATGTGAAAGAAACCAAATAAAGAAAAATTGTATGGAAAGTGCAACAAAATTATAAAAAGGACAATATTTTAAAATTTGACGCCAGACAGTTGTACATAAAGCGCTGCCGAGTTCTCTAAAGCAAAATGATATCAAGCAATATAAATAAGCTAAAAATCAATTCTTAGTCTTTTTGCGTGCTGTAATAAACACAATTTCAGTTATTATAACGAAACTCATTGAGATTTTTATGATGGCCAAACGTGAAGTTGCGGTCGACGTACACCTGAGACATGTTTAAAAAAGTTACTGTGAGAAAGACAAAAAATGAAAAACAAGATTGACTCGACAACATTCATTTATGCATTTATTTAATTAAAATTATCAATCGCTAAATAAAAAGTTAAAATTTATTGTTTTGAAAGGACATATTTAAACTTCAGATACAACAATGTGATGAGGAAACGCTCAATTTACGCGAAACTTAATTGATGACTTAATGCAAATTATCATATTTTGTTCAATCTGTGGCAAAACAATGTAAAAGTTGAATTTTCAAATAAAAAAGTGACTGAAACCTGAAGGCTAGTCTCATTAAAAAAATGTCAATCAGAGCTGAATGGAACAGGAAATGCTGGTCATTGGTGGAAAGTTCATTGAATCCAGGGATCAACTGACTCCATCTAGTTATCATTTTTATGCTATCTTCTAAAATATTGAACAGAAGATCAACATTATTTCTTCCTTCGACATTTCTTGTAATCGATTTTAAATGAAACTGAAAATTGAAAAAATGAGTACAAAATAATATTATAATATTAAAAATTAAAAAACGGTAATTGGAAAATTTTCTTTTTTGTAACCGTATATCCTTTCACAAAGAGGCAGTTTCTGAACCTGAACTGAATAACTTTTGCTCTGTCTTCTAATTGAATGCTTAACCTACTAAAATAAAAGCTCTATTTTGTAATTCTTGCATATCCCATAAATTTTAAGTGTGAAGATGAGCACATGAATATTGCATGAAGTCATGCAAAATGCAGGCTGATCTTTAAATGCTGCCAAAGAGTAGAAGTGGGTGATCGAATAAATATAAATTTAGAAGCAAATCTATACGATCAGTTTTAATTAACCTATTATTTTTATATAATAGCTAATAAAGCAAGCATAAAAATTGTAACATTTTAATGGAAAGAAAACTCATGACAGTATAGCTAAATCTATTATGCATCCTGGTTTGTGATCATCTTCTCAAGTTTACCTATTTTCATTCCTGTTATAAAACCATACATTTTTAGAAGATCCAAATAAAAATTATTATAAAAATAAAAAAAAAGGATTTTTTTTATTGAACAGAAGATCAACATGATTTCTTTCCTCGACATTTCTTATAAAATTTACAAAATAATATTATAATATTAAAAATTATAAAACGGTAATTTAATTTGAAAAGGTTCTTCCTATCTGTTCTGTTAATAAAAAGGAATTTGTGGGTGCAGCTTATTTTTATTAAGTGTTGTTTTAAAAAGGCTATTTGCAGGGTAACGGGTCGATGCATGGCCTTCTTTGATAAACTATTTCGCAATCGTGCATCATTAGGATATTTTTAATTTTATTGAACTCTCATTTAATTTTAAAATATTTTTTAAAGTTCAATTATGAAAATTAATTTATTAACACTTTTTGAAACCAAATGATTTCAATTGCAAACCAAACTGTTTAGCCGTTAAGTATCTGCCTACGTGAAAAAATTAGCTAAGTCAAACTTAAATGATAATGGATTGAACAATGATGATAATAATTATAAAGAACGTAGCGATGTATTAAAAAAATTTATATTTTGGAATATAGAGTGGACGCACTTGCGAATAATCAAAACTTGAGAGATCGGGTGATGTGTCGATGTGGGCGCGCACAAGCAGAGTGATCAGACTTGCCTGTGGTGACAGGGAACCCTCTCGTTGGAATGAAGCTAATTTGGATTTTGATGGAAGCCGGCCCCGCCTTCCTTTCAAATAATCCGTTCTCACCACTTGTAAAAATGTAAAAAAGTCAAATTGTTACTTTTGCATTTTTTGAAAAATTTGAAAACGAAATGTTCTTCACCTTCTTTAACCATGCCCACGTGAAGGCATTTTTCAAATCTGCAATATTGACATCGATTTCTTCTTCTTTTATCAATAGGGCAATTTTTACCAGACAAACACGAATATACAGCATTTTTCTGCACTGTTCTCTTGAAAAATATGAATATATATATTAATTGGATAAAAGTTTTATAAATTCAATTTGCCATTCAACAGTCTTCAAAATCTAATTTTCTTGCTAACCGTCGTCGATAAAAGCGTCAAAAGATGAATAAAAATAACCGTCACATGATTTTGTTTTTTTTTTATCTCAAAGATTGGTCTCTTGTAAAATAATTTGAAAAATTTAAAAACAAATTATATATATATATATATATATACATATATATATATTACTTTTATTAATACTATTATTTTATATACGAAGCCAAAATAGGTTACAATTTTTGAAATGGCGTTGTTGACTGAGTATCAATATTTAAAAATGTGCAATGCTTGCTATTCAAGAGAAATATTAAACGTTATTTTATGGGTTTAAATGTGTAATAACTACATGTAACAAGAAAACCAGACACTCCAATAACTATAATTTCCATTCGACCAAATTTTCCACTGAGTTGACCGTGGCGGATGTCGTCCATATTAATAACAATTAAATAATAATTAAACAATATTTAAATAACAGTTAAATAAAAACTAAATAATACTTAAATAACAATTATATAATAATTAAATAACAAATAAATGATAATTATATAAGTAAATGAAAAGAAAAAAATATTAGAAACCGAGTGACAATGCGTGAAATTAATGACAATAAAATTAAAAGGTAAAAGTTAACTTATTGAAGTTAAATAATCATATCAACAAACAAACAGCTGATGAGTAAACAATTGCTTATAAGAAAAAATGTAGTAACTGTTGAGCATTGCCTACACACACACACACACACACACACACACACACACACACACACACACACACACACACACACACACACACACCACACACACCCACAATCTAAACAAACTTACACAAAATGCCTAAAAGCTCACTTTCAAAATTTATTTTGAAAGCATTGTATAATTCCATTGTCATACCTTTTTTAACTAATTGCATTACCATCTGGGACATAGTACTAAATAGAACTTGTTTATATTTATCTAATTTTTTTCTCGCGAATAACTGTTTGTTTAAGTGAATTTTATCACATCAGCAGTTGGCAGGCTCATTCAACTTCCCTGAGCTCTCCTATAGAGGTATCTGGTAATGAGACCAATACCGCATGCCGTTTCATAGTTTGATTGCTCTGCATCTGGAAAAGTTTCCCACCTGCCAGCTCATTTTTTCCAGAATTTCTAACGGTGGCTTTCGGCCTATAGGTCTGGCTGACTAAAGTGAAATTTATTTTACGAAAGTTCTTTATTCCGTTTAAAAAGTATTAAGTTAATATTGGGTTTTATAAAGTTAACTTGCATTGCTTCTGCTATTTGCAGCAAAGATCTTGTTCTCTACTTTAGATATCAAGCAATGATTTTCAGAAATTATTTTTCAGTTTTCTGCGTTCATATGTAATTTTTTAGTTTCTTTTAACGCGAACAGAGCAAAATACAACCTCAATAAAATAAGTGGCTGACGAAAGCGCACGATACCAACTAGCATATTGTGCCCGCTTTGTCCCAAACACCTTCCAAAAAAATTGTATAGCTTGAACTTTTTTTAATCTGAACTTATCTAACTTAAAAACCTTGCATACACTTTGTATAGTCTCACGATTCTGAGTTACAACATTTTAGATTTTTAATCTGGTAGATCACTTTAGAGAACGTTAATGACTGATACTACATGCTGTCTTTTAGTAATATAAATTTATTTTCTTTCGTAGCAAAATCTATTTCCAAATGAGGTTTAAAAAATTATAGAAAGAGATGTAATTTTTTAAGATTAATCGTTTAAAAATTTAATCAATTAAACTTTTTGAACAATTAATTAATATTTACACGTAATTATATTTGAATGTTAACATCCAAGTCAATGTAATAAATTTAAATAGTTATTTCTTATTTAGACTCCGAAATTAATTTAATTATTTTTTTCTTCATTTGTATTAGTTTGCAATTATTCGGTTTTAAATAAATTTTGAATAATTCAAAAAAAATTTGATAGAGCAAAGACAAAATCATTTAATGCGCTGTGGTCCACTTTTAACAACCTCCATGTCTTATTTAGATGGAGTTTGCTGTACATACATGGATTGTCATTGTACCACATACTTTAACCAACTACGATTTGTTAGTCTGTTCTCAACATGTTTTGTTTTTTCGCTCTCTTCATCTAAATTTAAACAGTTCGCTAACAAAATTTTTTTATTCGTCAGCCATGGGTACCTTCGTACTGTTCTAACCTTGTTTTCACTTTTATAAGCTGTTTTTTCTTTATTTTCCTCCCTAATCACCGCCTGCTTACACTTCTTTTCAGCAGCTCACCACCAAGTTTCAAATAAAAAATAATTTTCAAAACAAATTGTTAAAGTGATAATCTGTAGGTACTTTAAAGAATCCTTTGCAGCCTTCACACGTTCGCACGCCGTAGTGTTGGCAGGCAGCGTGGTCCCCGCAGACGGCACACGCATGTTGCAGCTGCCCGTATGCACCACAGTCTTTATTGGGTCCATTTTTTGATGGGGTTTGACTGTATTGAAAATAAGGTGAAGCGTTGTTATATTCATTGTCGTCGCAGTAGAAGTGGTTTGACAGACGACACTTCGATGAATCTACGCATGTCGTTCCGTGGAAGGAGCTGGATTGAGAGACGATGTTTACTTCGTATCTATTGCCAGCATTTAAATAGAAATGTGTGTTCAAACTGAAAAAAAAACAAAAATAAGGAAATATCACCAAGTTTTTAGGTTGTAACATGATAAGTTAACGGGACATCATAACATGATATAAGTTCTTTGATATCAAGAACTTTAGATTTTTAGAATAATCATCTACTTTTTTAGCAATAATCCAAAACCAATCCTAATTTTTTCTAAAAAATTATTTGAAAAAGTCCTCAAATTTGTTACATACAAACGCATCGCTTAATTTAGTTCAGATAGCTGCGGTGTAAACAACTAATTCAAATACATTGGTAAACTATCACTGAACTAGCAATAAACATTTCACGACAATAATTAAAATTTTCAACTAAAATCCAAATTAATTTTTTATTAAAACCAGCAACGGATTCAAATGGTGCCGTGGGAGAAGAATATTATCAGTGGTGGGAGATGAAAGTCATCAGTAGACTAGCGCTCGACCTTTATTGTTATTCTCTATTTTGTTTTCATAAAAATGTTTCATTCTTCAAATCCATAAAGTACCATAGTATGTTAAAGGTTGCTAAATTTTTTTGTTAGCTGTGAGAAGGCGACCCCATCACTCCCGCTAAATATGGTATTTTGGTTTAGAAAGCATATTACTTTCCTTTTTCCTTCATAACTTCTGGGTGCCCACAACTCTGTCCTTCAATCCGTTGAATAAACGTTATCTAATACTATTGCCACTTAATCTACATAATAAATTTGAATTTTTTTTGAAAATTTGAATCATAAAAATCATTTATGTCACTGGCATAATTTTTTAATGTAATGCCTAAATTATTGATTTAGAATATGTTTTATTTTAAATAAAATATCTTTACGGCGAATATTAGCTTACTTTTTTCTATTCTCAAAAAATGTTTTGATCATTCATTAGTAAATAATGAAAAATTAAAAATTTTAACGCATCAAAAAATCGTTTGAAACGATGCATTTTTTATTTGATTTTGTTGAATGCTGCTTGAATAATTAAAATGTTCTCGGCCAACCGATCATCCTCCCTTCACCTTTCTTTTCCGTAGCGGGCAGATGTTTTGCAGCATTTACATATATAGAATAAATCGAAAATTTAATTGTTTTTGTTTTTATTCAATGAAAACTGCTAACTTCTTATTTGGGGCTTCAGCATAAAGAGATTGATTCGATGTTGTTGGACACATGCTCTCAAGTTTATCTCCATCTGTCAGCTTCGGTGTTGAATCAACGTCGCTTGCTGCGTCTCTCAATGAAACAGGTTTTGAAAATGTTTGATAATTTGAAAAATGTATTATGGGCTGCATGAAACACTGATCATTTTTTGGTAGGCCGGAAGGTTGAAAGATACCTTTTTCGTCAGCAGACGTGGAAGAGTTGTAAACATTGTTATGCTTACAACTGAAAACTCTGTTGATATTTATTGGCGAGAAAATGTCAAAATCAACATTGCAGTATGTCTTGCTCAGTTCTCCACACACGGATGACACTTGAAGTAGATCGCTCTTATATTCGTCTGATTTATTTTCCAAATAGTTTGCATTTAAGAAGCTGTCACCGCTATAAGTTGTTTTGAGTTTGTTGTAGGTCAAACAATTTGCTGGTAACTCACTTTGTAAGTCGGTTTCTTGAAACTTATCATTCAGTGAAGAGTCTCCTGAAATCATAGTTTATTTCAATTCAATTTTGATTGTAAAATTATTAAAAGTATAAAACTCAGTAACCACCGTCTAAATAAATAGGAAGTTTGAAATGTTCAAAATTGTTTTCATCTTGACTCGTTGATGCTTGTGAAAAAGTTTCTGACCCAAATTTTGATGATGTCTGCAATGCATGCTCAAAAATATTTTCAGTCTCGCTAAACGCAAACTTAATAAAATCAACATTTATCTTGTTAGCTAATTTTATTTTCAAAAAATTAGAAACTTTTTTACCTGATTGTGGATTCTACAATAAATTTGCTTGCGAAGTAAATGGCTGTTTTTCAGAATGCAACTGAACTGCTCGTCTGTGAGAGGAATACCCCGGCGGCCGTAGAAAAGTTTGCACATGTACTCCGTCATTGACATCCTGCAGGTCTTCAGACGCAGCACTCCCCAGTTAATAACAGTTGATATTTTTTTGTTAGATCAATTCTTTAAAGTAACAAGCTAGAAATACTTAATAATTATCGACAATTATACCAAACCAAACTATTTGAAAAATTTCTACGGATCCTTATAAAAATAAAATCTTGGATGATTTGATGATTTGCATGGTGCAATCTTGTTCGTGAGAATGCTTTTATGGTCTGAACTATAAACAAAATTTATATATATATATATATATATATATATATATATATATATATATATATATATATTCAATATCAATATGCAATGTATGTATATATGTGTTCTTTCCTTTTTAGAATTTATTTGTATATATTTTAATTATATTAAAACAATAATTATAAATCAATAAATAATGCACTGGCAATGACGGTTTAGCGTCGAAATGGATCTATCTGCAATAATTTTAATAAAATGTTTGTTAATAAAAATAAAATTTCAATTTTTAACAGACTCAATTTCGATTGATAAAAAATTTACTAAGACAAATTGAAAAATTCAAATATAAGTTAATAAACACTAGTAACATAACATAACATAGCATAAACAGAGAATAGAGGCGCGAACTGACGTTTCTATGCCTCCAGCAAATGAAAAGCTTCCATTGTATTTTAAAAATAATAAAATAAATAAATGAAGTAAAATAAAATACAGTTGGATGAAAATACAGATTGTTTATGATAAATGTCTATGTATACTAGGGTGGTTCACATTTGAATGGGGAAAAAAATTTTTTGTCTGATTTGAGTGCACACCCTCTGAAAAGTTTCCATTGGGTCCTAAAAACTTACAAACCAAAAATAAGACAAATCAAATTTAAATTTAAATCTCAAAATTATATAAAAATGTGATAATTCATTATTTCGAAACCAAATACAAATATAACTGGAAAAGTATCAAAAGTTGGTTACTTACTTAATTCAAAACATAGATATTAGATATTTTAAAATGCATTATTATTATTAAATATTCTATGGTCACCATATTTGTTGTCAGCAAAAAGTAAAATAGGATAAATATCTGCATAATTTAACTGTGTCGATTTACTAGTAATTTGAGGTGATTTTGAAATACCGGTACTGTACATATTTAACTACGTATAAAATGGCTTCTAATTCAAACTGTGGTGCTCTTACAACACGCAGCATGACTAACATATGGCTGATTGGACAGTTACAAAGTGCCAGCAAAAAAACACGAACTGTGCAGGATATGTTGTCGTCGCCAGATGTTGCTTCAGCACTGGATAGAATAAACCTGTCAGATAGAAAGTTCACAGTATTAGCAGCAGCCATTGCACAAGCTAGTGGGCAAGACATCAGGGATACATCTCTGTCACGTTCCACAGTTCATCGTAAACGACAGCAACATCGATCAACCATTGACAGCAGTATTCGTCAACAATTTCAGGATCGTGACAGAAACCCCCTTCTGGTTCACTGGGATGGGAAAATCATGAATGATGATCCACACTCCAGAACTGATAGACTGGCTGTTGTTGTGACTGGCTGTAAAGTGGAGAAAATCTTAGGAATTGTTAAAATTGCATCAAGCACGGGACAAGCACAGGCCAATGCAACTTTTCAGTTGCTCAAATTATGGGACGTTAGTGAAGACATTATAGGCATGTGCTTTGATACTACTGCTGCCAATACTGGGACGTCAAGTGGAGCATGTGTTTTGCTGGAGAAACTGCTCCATAGAAATCTCTTGCACTTTGCTTGTCGTCATCATGTACATGAATTGATAATCGGTGAAGTTTTTACAGTTCTGTTTGGTCCAAGCCGTGGCCCCAACATTGGAATGTTTGAAAGATTTCGAGCCAACTGGCCAAATATAAATCAGTCAAACCACAAACCACTTGATGATGACAGGATAAACCACTCATTGCTACAGATGATGCGGTCTGACATAGTACCATCTTTGACATGTTTTCTTTCAGCTGACAGCTCATACATCCCACGAGAGGATTACAAGAAGTTGGTTGAACTCTGTCTCTTAGTGCTGGGTTATCCAATGCAGACTGATGGCAAGTACCATTTCCGTGTTCCTGGAGCATATCACATGGCCAGATGGATGGCCAAAGTGATCTACTGTCTCAAAATGTATTTGTTCCGCAATGAATTCAAGCTAACAGCAACTGAAACAAAAAGTTTAACTGAATTCTGCCTATTTGCAACCCATATATATGTGCCAGCATGGATGTTGTGCCCAATACCCAGTGATGCACTAGTCAATGACCTGCAACTTGCGAGCAGAATTGAACAATACTCTGAAATCAACAAGAATGTAGCAAGTGCTGCCACAAAAAAGTTGAAGAATCATCTGTGGTATCTCGGTACAGAAATGGTTTGGCTGTCATTGTTCTCAAATAAGGTTGCAAATGCTGAGAAGCAGTTGATTGTGGAAGCAATGAATGCAGTAGATTCTGACTGGAGTGTGCGAGGTGTCAAATATCCTGCAACTGAACTGGAACAGGTGAAAAGCAAACCACTGCATGATCTGGTATCAGGTACATCTCGTGCTGCATTGTTATCACTTGGAATGGATGTTGCTATCTTGCGTGAAACTGAACCAGACTCATGGAATGATCTTCCTTTATTTCAAAAAGTAGCAAATGTTGTGAAGTCACTTAAGGTCGTTAATGACACTGCAGAACGCACTGTGGCACTCATGACAAATTTTAACCAGTCTATAACCAAAAATGAAACAGAACTGCAAAAACTGATACAGGTGGTGGAGGACAATCGAACACGTATTCCGGACTCCTCTAAGCGCACATTAGCCAGTGCTCAAGCAGCTGCTGCTATGTTTTGAGTCTGACATACTATGAGTGATTAACAGAAAAACATAAACTGAGTACATTAATTGCCTCAAGTTAATTTCAGTTTCTCAATCAAAGATTAACAGTACTGAACTTTCGTTTGGCATAATCAAGTTGCCTTTACCTTGTGAGAACTGTTTGTTTAGTGTTGAATATTTTGTTATTTTGAGTATAAATTTGTAGAACTGTTAAATCTTACATGATTTTCACAAGAATGTTGTTCATTTTACTGCAAAATAAACATTAAACACAAAATTGTAGCACTGACCAATATTCGCTTATATGCTAAATATGGTGAAAAACTGAATGTCATTGAGCAACCTCTAAATATTGTCAGAATTGAATGAAATTTTGCACACATGCTAACTTTCAGCTAAGGAAAAATATAGGGGGTGTGCACTTAAATATTAAAAAAAAATTTTTTTTGAACCACCCTAATGTATACATACATACATATATATACACACACTCACACACGCATTAGCCCACACACACACACACACACATTATCCACAAAGAGGTCAAAGATAATATAAATATATAAACTATGACATTGTGCCAAGCGAGGATCTCCAGTTGAACATCATGTCGGTAGAATTCATATGTCGATCTAACTTCATTTTAAATGTTTCAACGTCTTTAGCCATCACAATGTCCGCATCCAAGCCGTTCCATAACTCAACCACCCTATAGGAAAAACAAAATTTCCCATGATTCGTGTTAAAATTTTGAGTAGAAAACTTGAACGGATGACCCTTGGTACGATTATCGTTAGGTTTTTTAACACAGGATAACACGATGATAATACGTTGTTCCTAGTTATGTTGAAAACTGTGATAAGATCACCTCTGATTCGTCTATACCTCAGTGTGGGAAGATCGAGGAGTTTTAATCTCTGCTCATAATTGAGTCGAATACAATCTTTCACCATTCTTGTGGCCTTCTTCTGAATCCGTTCAATATCTCTTATAACTTTCAAAGACCAGGGAGATCGGTAGTAAATCGGTGGAATTTATTACATACTGTCAAGAATTCGGTCTTCTACCAATATATATATATATATATATATATATATATATAATTTGTTGAAAATAGAATTATCCAAGTTCATCATGAAAATTTAATGAAACTGTTGTTATCCAAATTCATCATGCAGATAAGGCCTTATTTCGATTTTTCATAAATCATCTTCAGTGCAGGTTTGGTTTATATAGTTTCTTTAAACAAAGCAAAGTTTCTTAGCAAATTTTATTAGCTTTTATCTTATTCTTCATCTTTGTTGTTGGTTGATCCATTGTTTCTTTTTATTAGTAATTTCTTTTTCGGTAGCAAAGTTGTATATTTTTTTTGCAATGGGTTTTTTTTTGTCTATGAGAAGTGCTTCTGTTGAATCAGAATTCTGTTGCGATACAGTATCTTTGTGTTACTGTTGAGTATTTTTGTAGTAATTGCTGTTCCTGATTTTTTATTGCACATCTTTGTTTATGCATAGTTAATCTTCGTGTCAATGTAGTAGTAGTGTGTCCGAAATATTCTGAAATTCGGGGCCGGCACTCGCCGATAGGACATTTAAAGGAATATATCAGGTGACTACTTATTATTATTGACTCTTGTTTCTTATTACTGCTATTTTTAAGAACAAAGGAAGAAGTTGGCATAGTAAATTCTGAATTGCAATTTGTCATTACGATCAGTTGTTTTGACGTTCTTCACGAGTATATTTCTTAATATTCTTTCATGCGTTTTATACGATGTGGATATAAAGTTTTATTATTTCCAGTAGTCAAAACTTTCTTTTCTATTTATTAAGTTGAAAAACAATGTTAAAAGCACGGTAAAAATATTGAAAAATTGAACCAGAAACTGATCAAAGCTGAAATCGCAGTGATATTTTTTAACAATTATATCTACAACAAACTTAACCCTAAATATAGACACACACACACACACACACACACACACACACACACACACACACACACACACACACACACACACACACATATATATATATATATATATATATATTTAAGAATACTTACATCACATATATAGATATATATGTGTGTGTGTGTGTGTTTTTCCTGTAGAAAGTTCATGTTTCATGTAGAAAGACAGGGACGTTTAAAAGGAATGAGTGTTGCGCGAGAAGATGTGGTGTAATTAGGTTAATAAGAGAGATGAGTGGACAGGGAACGAACGTTTGCTCTTCAACTCGCTCCACTGATGAAATTGAATCGGCGACCGATGATCGATGACACACATAATTTAATGACATTTCAACTAATCTTCTCACTTTCTTCTTTCCATGGCTTATGGCTACATTTTTCGAATCTTCACATGAAACATTAGCATTGCTTAATGACGTATTGTTTATTTTTATGTTTATTCATTTTTTATTTTACCAACCTAACTATGAAAATGATTTTTTATCAATTTCTTGCAATTGCTTATGATAAAAAATAATTAAACGTCGAATATCATAAAAAATTTCTTCAAAAAAGATGAATGTGATTTTAGAAAAATTAATCTAATTTGTGATCGTCTTGGTTCTGACCGGCACCTATAAAAAGCTTGAGAAAAAAGTTTTCAATCGCTATACTCATACACTGATATCTCTCTCAGCTGTTTCAGCTTGATTGTGATTGGCCAAACAAAAATACAAAGACCATCCTTCCTTAATGATTGACATTTTGACGTGCACTGCCATGTTTGTTTGACGCCAATGTATTTTTGCATCTACATTACAATTAAGTAAATTTTTAAAGCCTGTAATGAGCAAATGAAGCATTGAACTATCGACATTCGTTTTATTTATTTTACTTCGTAAAGTGCATTGAATGAAATAAATGTTAGGATGAGCGCGCACATTTTTTAAAACTAACGAACGAACAGTTAATTGAATAGGAAAATATTATTATTATTATTATTATCGCATTGCTCCGGGGCAACACAATCGAAATGTTGGAACTAACGGTCTGCTACGAATCGAACTTCCTTAACTCCAAACAATATAAAATATCTAAATATTCTAATTTGCACAATAATTTACTTGACGATTTTAAACATTTAAAAATGTTAATGAACACTTTCGAAATTTCGCCGCTAAGCTTTTTTAAGTATTTCAATTTGACATTAATCGACTTGGTCTGATCAATTTAACAATAGTCTCATGTACTCTGCAATATCGTCATCGTATGCCATTTATTGTGATAGAAATACTAATTGAATGCATCATTTAGAACTAATCCTTTCTTTTTGTACGCATTCTTCTTTAGGATGTCGAACTTCGTAGAATATTTTAATTCTTAATTTTAAAACAATTTTACTTTTATTAAATTTTAATTCATTAACAATTCTTTTTAACGTGTGATTTATGATGAAAATAAAATGATGTTCCTATTATTATTATTAATATTATTTTAGATTTTTAGATTTTTGAGGTTCATCATTATTATTATTATTAGTACTATTATTATTATTATTATTATTATTATTATTATTATTATTATTATTATTATTATTATTAGGATATTATTATTATTATTATTATATTTTAATTTTGATTATCATTGACAATTATTTTTTTTATTTTTTTTTATTTTTTTTCATTTCATGTACGTTTTTACGATGAAAATAAAAAGGTGTTCTTATTTATATAACACTAATTAATAAGAAATTTTATTAAAAGCACTTGTTTAAAATCTAAAACAAACACAATTTTGTCACAGTGAATATAAGTTTTAAGCATTTTTCTAAATGTCAACAAAATTCTAATTTGGACTACGTAAATCGTTTGGGAGATTGTCGATATTCTAGGACCAAAATGGCAAAATTTCTTGATCTTATTTTAAAATGACTCGCCTGAACAGTTAGTAATTTAATTTATAAAATCGCAGATAAACTGAAATTGGTAGGTGTTATTTACTCTAGGTGCTATCTTACCTGTCAAATGTTTTTGTGTGCCTGGTTTGATGCCTGTCAATATCGTAGTACACAAGTTTGGAAAATAACCCTCTAGTTGGCAATCAATAAATGAAGTCGTTTTAGAAAATATGGCGGCGTGATGGCCTAGTGGTTAAGGCCACCTGGTCACAGATTAATTTAACAATAAAAAAAATAATTAATAATAATTTTACACTATCAACAAATAATTAACAATATCCGTTATTTGCTAATTATAATGTTTATTAAACATTCCACTTTCAAACTCTATGGGCTGCAGCTCATCTGTTTTAGCACTCTCTTGCACTCCCTCCTTTCACTCAAAGCAGTGTATGTAGCATTGCGAGCTATTTTGGAGAGCACGCCAGATGGCTTCCCGGAATAACACACCTTGTTGAAGATGTCGATTTTTGTCGTTGGAAGTCTACATTGTCTGTTTCTAACATCTTCCTGAATCAAAAAACATCATCGATATTGCAGTTTAGCTAATTTGAAATTTCAACATTTGTCGACATTTTGTCGGCGTTTGTGTGGGCAAAGATAATTTCGTGTGTTTCAAACTTTTTAATTGTTATTTTAATATTCCACCATTGGTTGCGCTAAAAGTGGTATAAATGGAATCCCGCGCCCATTGAAGCGGGACATTGAAGGCGTAATTCGGGACTTTCCCGTACAATTCGGGACGGTTTGCAGCTATGCTTTTTACAGAGCTATTTACACTGCCGACATTCGCTGTTATACCATGGTGGTTATATTATATATATATATATATATATATATACATATATACAATATATATAATCATTATTATAAGGAATGTTCATATAGCACCAGATAAAAAAGGCATGTTTTCACAAATAAATTGAAAAAGAACTTTCAAAAAGAGAACACGAAATAATGAAAAAAAAACAAAAAATTTAAAAATGAGTTTATGTACTCTACTGGCAAAAAAGATTGTAAAAAATAATTTTTTCGAACCGTGTTGTGAGTTCTTAGTACTATTGCCAAACGACGTTGATGATGCTCCAACACTTGGAATTTTCAAAACGAAAGATGATTTTTTTACATCTTAATTTAATTTTGTCTTTTAATTTAAATTGTTATTAAATATACCATAAGAATTTTTATTTTTATATTATTCTGAACATTAATTTTAATTTAAACATCGATGTTTTTTGTTAGTTTTTAAAATTCGTTTTAATTTTCTTTATATTTGTTATTTCAGTAATGGGCAAGGAGCTTCTCCAAGCTTTTTTTAAATAATGAAAGTGTTAACGTTTTTGGTTTGAAATAGACATGTCTTTAATTCGTTTTTAAACGTCTTTCCAGACGGCTCTCTTCACATATACTGGACGGTGCCATTACAGATCATATGTACGATCAACACAGGGTACCTCTTACTCGGTCTATATTGGATGCCAACACAACGATTCTCGACTATGAACCACATCTAGTTAGACTGAAAATCAAAGAAGCCTTTTAGATACATAAAAATAAGCCATCTTTAATTTAAACAAACAATAAAACAGCTTCGATCACATTCTACAATTATATTCTCATTATCGTGACGCAAAGCCTTCAAGTATCGTCGATCGACACCCTCAGCACCATCACGAACCACATCGGTATCAATGCATTTTGACGGCTAGGACATTCAATCCTGTCAATACTCAGCTTGCGACACAGCGTCGAAAAATTGCGATCGTCTCTTCGCTCACTTCATTATTTGATTCGTAACAATTAATAATAATAACAACAATATTAATATTATTTGTGCAATACATTATTCGCCACCCTATTTTATTATTTACACAACAACACAAATTAACACACAAGCATTTATCACTTCCTACTCAATTATATAAACATACATTTATACATACACAGTCATTGTTGTTTTCACACTGCAGAAAACGCTTTATTTTACGCATTAAACGCATTTCGCTTTATTTTAACTATATTTATTTCAACTTAGTTCTTAAATATATTTAATTATACTTATATAATTCTATATTTTATTAAACATTTATTTCACCTGGCTGTATTCTATTGTAAATTTGTAGAGCGCTAATTGTGCTTCGTTTTATTGAAAAAAAGATGTTTCAAACGGCTCCTGAACACCTTATGACTAATGTTAGTATCGACTTTTAGATTATGTGGCAATGAACTCCAATTCTTGACTGTTGCAACAGGAAACCTTCTTGCACCAAAATGAGATGTTTTGAACAGAGCACAAACAAGATCACCATGTTTTGTCGATCTCAGTCTATTTCTCTCAGGAACGTTAGAAACTGAGTTCAACATCTTTTTCAAGTAGTCCGGTGCCTTTCCAGTTAGATAGTTGTTTTTACCCCGAGAATTGTTTTTAATCACTAGCCAATGAAGCGATTGAATGGATGCCATTTGACTTTAATCACACTGTACAGAATTCAATTGCAGTAGTCAATCTGCGTACAAACAAGGCTGGTCTCCAAAGTTCATGCAGACTCTTATGAGAGATTACTCTGATCGCGGTCGCTCTTATTTTATGAAGCTGATAAAGGATCGTTCACATAAAAAGATCGTTGACATGAAGCTGATAAAAGGATCGTTGACATTATTAAAGATCATCTATTGAGTTACATTTATAAAAACAATTTACTAGATTATAGGCAATATGGTTTTGTGAAGGGGAAATCATCAACTCTCCAGTTGTTGAAATTGATGGATTGTTAAACTGGTGCAGTTGATAATTGTTTGGTGGTGATGTTATTTACACAGACTTTACTAAAGCTCTTGATAGAGTGCCACATGTGTTATTGATTAATAAAATGCGTGGTTATGGTGTGAATGATTGTTTGGTTGAATGGATTAAGGAGTATTTGTGTGGTAGAACCATAAGTGTGAGAGAGAATATTTGTTTGTCTAAAAGGTTTGAAGTTAGTAGTGGAGTGCCTTAAGGAAGTGTATTAGGTCCGGCTATGTTTATTGTGTATGTGAATGGCATGTTTGATATTGTGAAAGATAACTCTGTTCAAATGTATTTGTATGCTGATGGTGCTAAAATGTTAAATTTTTTAAGATGTGTGGATGATAGAATAGTGCTACGAAAACATCTTGATAAATTATATGCTTGGTGTATGTTATGGAAAATCGATTTGAATATTGAAAAATGTGCATCTATAAAATTTGGTCATTCATGTTTGGACAATAATTGGTGTTATAATATAATTCTAACTTGGATTTTTGTAGTAAAGTAAACGATTTGGGAGTTTTGTTTGAACGTTCACTGAGCTTCTCTAAGTATGTACATCATGTCATTAATAAATGTTTTGTTCTTTTAGTATTGTTATACAGAAACTTTAAAAATTTAACTAAAGAGTCATTTATTAAGAAATCTTTAATAAGGTCAAAGTTAAAGTATGGTGTCAGTGTATGTTCTCCTTGGAAAATAAAGAAAATTGACGATTTGGAAAGGGTTCAGAAACGGGCAACCAAGATGGAAGAGTTCGTAGAATAATGATTTTCAACATTGCGAAGGGTATGGTAGATAGAGATTCCTCACCAGTCTTGTTTTTTGATGCGGATCCACGTACCAGAGGGCATCGCTATAGAATACTTGTTCAAAAGTTCCATACAAATACAAGAAAGTATTCGTTTTCTAACAGAGTGATCTCTATTTGGAACAATTTACCGACATGCGTTGTTGAATCAGATACTGTTTCCAACTTCAAGCTAATATGCTAATTACTCCTTAGCAGAAATATGCTAGTTATATGCTAGTTACCCTGTAAGCCGCAATATACTAATTAACTCATAACTCTCGGAAATGCTTTTTATAACCCGAGTGTCGGAGTCGGATGAAAAATATCCGACTCCGACTTCTCAAAAAATTCCGACTCCGGGTAAAATTTTCTGACTCCGACTCCCGGCTCCTACTTCTAAAAACAAAATTTAAATTTTGCATTATAATTTCTTCTTGTTATCACTAAAATCAGTTAATGCAAATATTTTTGTAAGTAAAATTACTGAGAAAAAAACTGAAAAAAATTTAACCTATTTCATCACTACTGAAAAGAAAATACTTTAAAACACTTAAAATCCGTCAATGTAATTGTTTGTTTTTTTTTAGTAAAATTATTTTGTTTTTATGGTTTAAAACTAATTGAAAAAATTATGTCATTTTATTGATATTATTTAGCATTTATTTTTTGCATTAAAGATTATTACCTATTGCCACACACATTTATTTTCCAAAAAACACCATCTTATAAAAATTTCAGAAAAAATAGTTTCAGAAAAAAAAAAAAATTAATAACATTTTCCTGAGAAGAATAAAGAATCCGATTCAGACTCCGACTCCGGCCCTTCAAAAAAATCCGACTCCGACTGCGTGCTTTCAAAAAATTCCGACTCCGGCCAAAATCTACAACTCCGACTCCCTTACTCCGACACTCTGTTTTTAAGGCAAAAGCATATATCTTTTATTCTATATATAAATATGTGGATTCAATTAAATCTTTTCCGTATACTTCATTTACTTATATATGTATATATTCAATTCATAGATCTATGTTATTTTGAATAGGGATATGGTCGATAATAAACTCGGGGACAAAAATTTTATTAGAATTTTTTTGTTTTTTTTCCCATTTTTTTCAGATGTTTCATTCATGGATATATATAATATATATGTGGTTTCATTCGGGATAGATGTGGTTTTATGGCGACGCAGACTGTTTTGATCAACAACTAATTTTTTTTTGTCGCAGCTGCGTAGTTAAGAAAAATAATTTCGTTGCTAGCTTCATTTATGCTTCGTAAAACCCAATCTCGCTCATTCTCATTCTCTTGTGTTTTTTAAGTGTTATCTCTTTTGTTCTTTGATTATTTGTTATTTAACTTTTTAAAATGGTTAAAGATTATTTTGTTGACGGACTGTTTTTGTTTATGTTTGTTCTGAGTATTCAGAATATTAAATGGGAGCCACAAACTGACCTGGATGTTATTATTCTTGGTGGTGCTGATTGGCAGTTCAGGCGGGCTGGTGGTGGTAATCTGGAAGACGGGCAACAAATAATCTCCACCATCACAAGCGGCACGAACAACAGAGGTTTGTGGAATTTTGAAAGTCAAGTTCATCTCAAGAGCGTTGCAGATCAGTCGGAAGTGGAAGATGTCATCAGAAAAATTCATTTGCTAGGTCAATACAACAATAGATTTTCTCATAGAACATTTGGGACAGAAATAAGTGCGTTTCTGCTTAACGAATCACTGCCGCTTGCCAATATTAACATTGCAACTGGAGCTTTAGTGTATGGATCAAATGAACAAAATATTTCTCAACAAAGTGGTCCAAATGGAGCTGAACCTACCAAAGATGTATGTTGTGTTATGTATTTTAACACTTTGTACATTTGTGGTAATTTACAGTTCAAACATTGTTTGTGTTAGTGTTGTGTTAGCTATTTCATTCCCAGAAGAGGTAAATTTGTATAAAAAAATTTGATTCTGGAATGTGGATAGCTACATAATTTCTTAAAATTAGCTTGTATATGTAGACATTACTTCATCATCTTATTCATGTATAGGGAATTCATCCGGGATTCACAAATGATGTAATTGTACTATTTATAAATATAACAATGAGTTAGTTCACTGTTGCTAGCATATTTGTAAGCAGTAGGTTTTTGTAAGCAGAAGTTAGGAATTAAGTTGTAAAGTCTTATGTTATGATTAGTTTTAATATGCCATTTGAATGGAGGTTTTTCTCCATTAATGTTCCTGAATGGCTCAAGTAATAATTCAAGTTGACTCTTATTACAACAAAAAAGAACATAAACATGAATGTAAAAATGTATCAACATCTACTTTCTCAATGGGACCACTGTACTGAAGAGATATTTTATGTCTTAAAATGACAAGAAAAAATGGAACACAGTACTTAATTTGCTTCAGTTTAATTCTCCTTTTTGAATAGGCAAAACTGAAACCTAAAATTTAATTATATTAATAGCTTGAAACTAAACTTGAATCTAGGCAAAACTTCAGAACTGTGTTGTTATATGGAGCAGTTCTACAAAAAATGTATGATTGTTTTGATCGCATGAATATACTTTAAAAATTTGCATTTACGTTGAAATTGTTTTTATTTCACTTTGTATCAACAAAGGAGAAACATCTGGTTACATCAAACAGCTCACCTGAAATGTCAACAACGTTTAGATAATCAGACAAATAAAACCTTTAAAAGCATGATGAATTAACAATTTTAAAACTTCCACAATTTTTAATGAATTTCTATTCCAACAAAACTTCTCTGATACACAAGGTGCAACACTTTACAGCATACATGAAAAAGCATTAAGCATAAATGCTAATTGTAAAATTTTTTCTTGGAATGTAGCTCACACTCACTTCCAGGAATGTTTTTGGCTGTTACAATATTTTCAATAATTTCAATATTGTTGTCAGGACTTGGAGTTGATTGATGTGCTGTGGGGCCAGGATGTGGACCTGGAGAAAACGTTGGAATTGACTGAGCTGGATCAATCCAGCAGGTACAAGTTGGAACGAGAAATGGAACTGTTGCTACACGAAAAACAAGAAGAGGTTTGTACATCTTTTCAATTTAATTGTTATTTATTTAACTGAAACTCAAATTATTACCTGAATGGGAGAAATAATTTAAAGAACTGCTTCACGAATGCAGGAGACGCTGGAGCAGTTGGTGCAGCAGGAGTTTCTCGATAATTATTTTGGTCCTAGCTTTCTATCTCCCCTCAACGAACCTACCAATCACTTTGGTTACTTTCTTATTTGTTATTACTTTTGAGGCGTTTTTGTTTGCGGTGCCTAATTAGATTTGAATTGTGTGAAATGTTATTGTGCTTTAAGTTTATAAATATTTGAATCAACAAAAACACTGAATTTTACTTTTGGGTGCAATTAATTTCGGTTATGCATAAAGAGAATGACTTTCTAGATTTCTGCTGCAATTTGGAACTGAGTTGTTGAGACAATATATGATTTTATCAATTTGATATATGACGAAAGCATTAAATTTCAAGCAAGCAAATCTTATATCTATGTTAATTATAAAACCTGAAAAATGCAATGAAAACCGAAAATTACAGAAAAATTTTGTGAGGGTTAATGGTATATATTTAAAATTTTGATAAGTTAATTTGTCTGATCTTGTAATTCCACACATCAAACAGGCTTTTTTAAATTACAGTGGAATAATTTTTTTTTGTCATTTGTGAATGTTTATGAAGAATTTTTGAATTTTTGTAATAACATTTATCGAATCTTAGCACAAGAAATTTTTCAATCAAATTTGAACACACCTGAAGTGATACTGGATGAGCATGAAAGTGACAACGTTTTTTTCTCTAGCCACGTTAATGTCAGTTCTCTTTTAATTTTTGTATTTTACACACCAACTTTTTTGGAGTTGTCTGTTTGTAGATAAATTTACAGTCAGACCTCCTTACAAACGAACCTAATGGCTCCAGGGAATAAATTCGCTATGTAGAATTTTTTTTACTTAGAATTTGTTGGGAAAAAATTCTATATTGTTTAAGAGGTGTTTATATGCTATATTTTTTATGAAAAACAACTTCTTAACCATTTATTTTTATAACTAAAAATATTCAAAGTATAATTGCTGAAAATATGAAAAATTACTTAATATTATATGTTTACATTATAAGCATATTTTAAAAAGCATAATACATGAAACTCTGATGCAAAAATGTAACTTGCAGTCTGCTATGTTCAGCAATTAATTTTTTTTAATTTACTGATAATTCTTCAAAGAATTCTCACTTATTAAGGCACTAAAATATTTCATCAAATACATTTTCTGAGCAGGTATATTTTAAACTTTTATAATTTTTTTTCGTTATAGAGAAGTTATTTTCGTTCTATAGAAACGGTTCCAAGGGGCACAAAAAAAATGTTATATGGAGATTTTTGTTGTATAGAAGTTTGTTATAAGGAGGTCCGACTGCAATCTGTTCCTATTGTGTCAAATGTGTGTCAAACGCTTTTGCTTGGTCAATGTTGAATGAATTAATGTTTGTTTGCGTTTCATAGTCCAGTCATCAGCAGGAGAGCTTAGAACGATATCATGCTGCTACAACATCTGATGTTACAACATCTGATTTCACTGCATCTGATTTTACTACATCTGACATTACTGCATATGTCCTGGACTGCGATCAACTCAATTCAGCTAACTATTCCAGCGGGGTTTCAGTCAACTGGTCAGCTGGTTGTGATGCAAATGAAGATGTTTCCAATAATATCTTGTTACAAAATGTCTCATTAGCCAATTATCCTTCAATTTCATTTTTACAAGGTATTTTATTCAGCATTTAATTTGCTTGCATCGTTAAAAATTTTTGTTGTTATTGTAAAAATAAATGATTCATTTGTAGGAGGAGAATGGATGTCGCACGAGCAGCTGAACAACAGCGTGAGTACACCATTTACAGACATCAGTGGTCAGCAGCATGCCTTGCCAATCTTCCAGCTCTTCAACAATTCTCATGCTTCTCTCTCATCCAATAATACTCTCACTGAAGATAATTTGTTTGGGCTGGATGAAATTTATGAATTCTCTCACGACAATGATCTCACGGCTTGCAAGAGCAAGGACGAACATGAAAATGAAGTGCATGCAGAGGAATGGGGCTCCTTACGAAGAGAGGGAGACGACATCTTCTGCATCAATTTCAATACTGACTCTGCATGTGCAGTTAAAAGTGATGATCTCAGTGATTGCAGTTCATGTGAATCAGAACTCGATGTTGTTATGGAGAACGACAAGTTTGGAGATATCGACAGCTTCATCATGGGCTTGATAGAAGAACAATCAGGTTTGAATATTTGCCTACTTGCATATCATTTTGTTTCGAATGTTTCATACATTTTTTATAGTACCAAATTCAATCCTTATCAGTTTATAATGTTCACCTCAATTTTGTGTCCTCATTGAATCTGTTGGAAGTAATTTGCATGCAACTAGCTGGCTGGGAAACATTGAATGAGAGCTGAAAATGTTCGTTTTGTAAGATGCATGGAAATTTTTATTAGCATCCCCTGTTAGTTATGGTGGTGATGTATTTATACACTCGTTCCATTCTATTATTTTCTATTTTCATTGTTTATACATCTTCATTGCATCATTCTGATTTGGATTTATTGTATCACATTAATTTGTTTAATGGAATAAATTAAATCATAAAAAATAAAAATTTATTGTTTAGCAGCTACTCCGGAAAGAAAGAAAGTTCACTTGGATAGTGGGAGGAGGATCAGGTTATTTGATCAGGTGGGTTGAATGAATTGAACATTATCTTTAGTTGGGGGGCTCTTTAGAATTTTTAAAAGAATATTTTGTGAACATTTGTTCATAGACAATGTTTTTAAATGCTCGATTGTAAGTGTTTGTGTGTATAGCTTGAAAATTCCTTTTAAAACGTTTGTTTTGTTTATATAGGAGCTTTTCTATCCGAACATGTTGTGAACTCATTTATAAGCATTCGTTTATAACGTTGGTTGATGGCAACAGGGGTGGGCAAACTACAGACCACCAAGCCATTTTAAGCGGCCAACGAGGCGTTGTACATCTTTTGAGAAAAGGTCATCAGCCCAAAAAAGGTTATAACAACCACACATGACCACAAAAGGTCGTCAGTCCATTATGACCCCAAAAAAGGGCGTCACCTAGAAAAAATGTTATATTTATATACCTATGCAGCTCTTCAAAGGTAAAACAGTTTTCAATGCGGCCCTCACCGACTACAAAAAGTTTGCCTACCTCTGGTTTATGAGAGTTTTTTTAACAAACATTTGTTTGCGAGTGTAAACTTTTTTGCATTTCAAGTTTGTTCTGCTTCATTTAAACTCACTTTGGGTTTAATGTTCTCGGCTATTCCTACGTGGTGCACTATTTATGTGCTTTTCTAGATTTTGAAAATCAAATAATATCTCACTATAAAATAAAAAATTTGATTTTTTGGTGATTTATAAATTTTTAATGGTTTCACTAGGGCTGTCTTCATGAATAACAAATAAAAAAATGTTCTTGTCTGTTTGTTTGTCTTTTCATCTTTTTATGTTCATTTATATATAAAGTTTTTTGTTTAACATTTTGCAAGTGACAAAATTTAAACTCTTGTCTGACTGGATTTGCTGCTTGTGTGGTCCTGGCATCTTTTAAAATTTAATCTTCCATGCATGCAATACTTGCTTTGAGTTGGAGTGGTGGATGGTGGATGCCCATCTTTAATATGTTCAATATCTTTTCCAAGTCGCTCCTTTCACTTCTCGTCAATATTACACTTCACCCTCATCTCTCATATAATAATTTCTTAACTAATTTTCAGTCATTAGTGAGAACTAATTTTTTATGAAAATTGCCCCTGTTTTATAAATAATTGAAATGTATGATATAATTATTTATAAAGTTTTTACGATTTTCAGTTTTCAGTCGCCGAAATGAATGGAGCCTATGGAAGCAGCAAATTGACGGCTGGTGGCAGGTTGGATGAAGAATCCTTCCTTGATGATGAAGCTCTCGATTGCCAGAGTAATGAGGAGCTCATAAACTCGCCAACATGCAGACCGACCAAGATGAGCAACCACGCTGGTTCCCTCACAGTCCATTTCAGTGCACCTTCCAAAACTTTGGCTGGTCAGAGTCACAAAATTTTGAAAGAAGAGAAATCTGAAATTGATCAGTCCTCTAATGATCTTGAGCAAATTTACAGTGATCACAACTATCCAGCAATGTTTCGAGAAGAAGACTTTAGAACGAAAAATGTCAACAGTTATTCTAATAGAATCAATGAACGTTTAGAAAACGACCAACTGTTTTCGACCAGCAAAAAAAGAACTGGAATGAAAAATGAATTGGAATTTACTAAAACTCGTGCTAATTTTGAAAAAAATGAAAAGGCAAGTTGCTTGTTATTATTCTATTCATTTCATCAGTAAGCAAAATTGTATGTTATAATGCTGTAATTTCTTGCACTTAACTCAATAGCCTTCATTTCGTAATCGAGATAGTCAACGAATTGTAGAACTGAAGATTCCCATGTCGCTTGAAGAAATTATCAATTGTCCAGTCGATCACTTTAACGAAATCGTTTCTTCGCCCAGGTTACAAACATTTTTTCATTATATAAAACATATAGAATCGACTTAGCATTATATGTTCGTAGAATTAATGATCCTGTCATATATCTCTATAGACAGAAAGTTGAACACCCAATGAGCATAGAGCCCATGTTGAGTACAAACAACTGTCAGTTTAGACCAATTGATTTTTACATAACACAGCAATTGTTTCCTCTTAAACGTCTGTTAATTTTTCCAACACGTACATGACTTGACTAAATCTCCTCGTTGGTTCTCCCCTGCATGGCTTATGTCAAACAGCTTAGAACATTTGATTCAATATGATCTCCTAGGCACCGTTGATACACACATGTTGTTGGATCCACGTTTTTGCAAGTTGCGGCATGGCTCTGATGTTAATGAACAACCTGGTTGAAACTATTGCAGCAACCGGCATGTCACATCGAGTAAGGTATATGTTCAAACACGCTATTTATTTCAGACTGCTTGCGTTCCAGTCTTATAGCCTGTTTGGCTGCTTCTTTTGATCTCATCGGAATAATAAAAAGTCCTTACTCTTAAGACTGGGCTAAGTAACGTTTGAGCTAGCGGGGTATATGGAACAAACTGGTTCACAGCGATATTGCAAACGACGGGATCATTAAACGAAAACAGATAGAAAATGAAGAAACTAAATAGTTTTTTAAGTTTTTGATTACATTAAATTAATGCTATGTTGTATTAATCTTCGGTTCTAATCCACGAGCTTATCCTTAACGACAGTATCACCATTATCGTGCTTCGACTCTCGGGTGTCTCCACATTGATTGTAACGATTTGATGATTTTCTTTATCTCAATTATAAATAACAATAGGGCGAATTTTCAAGCCTTTCCTCAGTAGTATGAAAAATAAAGTGCTTAGTGTGGATCACAACGCCAACACCGATTTAGAAATTGTTCATATCGGCATTCATTTTGCTGTGTGTGATCTTTTCCTCTTTCGGTTTCCTTTTTCTGTTTCGAGTTACGCTGAGCTGCACTATCTGATCTTTTCAAATTGCTTTCATTGATATGTTATATTTCCACCCATAATGTAACGAATTAGGCAAAATGTTTGCATATCTTTCAGTACTGTTTGATACATGAAGCTATTTTTTGCTTATTTCTGCAAAGCATGTAAAAAAAACTTTACAGGCACAAATTAACAGATGAACAAATCCGGTTTATTAAAGATGTTCGAAAAAGAGGAAAAAACAAGATGGCCGCTCAGAATTGCCGAAAAAGAAAATTAGACATCATCCAAGTGTTAGAAGATGATGTTGACAGCTTGAAGAAGGAACGAGAACAAATGAAAGAAGAAAAGAGAATGGTTGATAAAGATATTGAAATGATGAGAAATAAAATTGAACAGCTGCAAAAGGAGATTTTCGAATCACTTCAGACCGCTAACGAGCGTTACTTTTTTAACGAGGCGTTGAACAATGATGGAAGAAGTTATACAAGGAACAGAGTTTTCGACAGTAATAGAAGAGGTAACACCCTTGCTCTGAATGGAAACTTTATTAACATCTCTGCGGGTTCTTTAAATAATGGTTACAACAGCAACAATATCACAAAAAATATAAGCGAAAACAAATGATACAAAATGTTAGTCGATATTCCGTGATTTTCAGTGAATTGTTTTTTTTTTTAGTCAAAAAATCTAAAAATAAAAAAAAAGTTTGAATAAGTTCAGTTGATTGTTTTCTTTTTATTCCATTTTCCATGCATTGCTTATAATTTTTTTTATGATCTAACTTATACGTATGTAAATAATAAAATTATTTTTTGTTTATTCATTTGTTTGTTCTTTTTTCAAAGTTAAATTCGTACTTTTTGTGTATGTCATGGACTGTGTGAACAAAATAATTGTTTATTAATTAGACAAGATGCCAAATAGATAGACGACCTTTATCATGAAAAAAATAAAGAAAGGGATGAGCTAATGTTAAACTCGCTAATCGTACCAATGTTTGCCAAATTGCCATTTACATACTGCACTGTTTTGATGACGATTCGACATGCCTCACGAACAGTTACGATTTGACACATGTTTTATAAAAGGTTGATGTGAATTTTGGAGCTCAAGTCCAAAATAAACGAATAGCAAGTAAACCAATGGTGACTGGTCATTGGACTCGTCGAAATTGCATTAGCTTTGATTTTTAGTTTATATATGATATTCGGAAAACGAATGTTCACTCTATCGTGGATTGATTGTATCGTTAAATAGGATGGACAGGGGCATACTAAACAGATTTTTAGTGCTTAACTCATTAAATTTTTATTATTTCATTAAAACTTCTTGAAATAGGTCATTATTATGCAAAAATATTTCTATTACGTATCTTAAAAAATGTATTCAATTCTAGCTTGTTTTTTTGATAATAGAAGGGTATATTTGCACGCCTGTCATGGGGTTCAACCTATCCCGTTCACGAAACACCGAGGCACATTTAACCAGTTTTTAATAACTGTTGCAAGTAATTTTATTGCTATAAAAAATTTTCATATAAAAAAATTAATTAATATTAACAATAACAACCGGTAACCAATGGACGACGTTCTTGCTAAACAATCAAACAACAGCACCAACTTGCTTCACACCTTTCTGACCAATTCTGCTCGGACCATGTACCCCTAGTAATCAATTCTTGTTTTCTGTGATCTTAGTATTTCAACTGTGGCCTCATTAACATGTTACCAAGGCGTGAAATGAAGTACGTACTGTTTTGCTGGATAAAAGCACTACAAAGATTTGTATCATAAAATTATTTACTCTTTAGCAATTGTATTTTAAAGAACAATCACGTCAAGGTCTGAAAATTACTCGAAAACATCGAAATCATATAAGCGATATTTACTTGACAATTTCCAGACATTAACATGACAGATTAATTCAGGTAGTTCTTTGCGCATTAATAGTTATAATTATAAAACGCCTACCGGTATTTGTTATAAATAAGGAAATTTATCCAACTGGTTCAACTTATCCGTGGTTCATAAAGTCACGGTTTCCACTATAGCAAACGGATTGGTTGATCCAGTAATAAAATTCAATCAACCAATTTCTTAGTTTATTGGAAAAATTCAGTCAATGCATTTTTACAGTGTCATCTATCTCCATGCAATCAACAGCACTCCTTATAAATTTTTCGAACAGATAGGTTGTCGGATTGAAAATCGTAAAGAATAAAACTAACAATCTTCTATAAAAAATAAAACACCACTAACTAACGAAGTGATTCGTGGGAGCATTATAAAGGGAAAAACTGCGTCACTATTCGGATAGGCATTCGGGTTGCTGATGGGTCCCCAGTATGGACGAAAACGTGTCCAGTCTATCCACTGATGGGTCCACAGTGTGGACGAAACACGTGTCCAGTCTATCCAAGCGAATACTGTTCTTTTCATTTTTCACTTCCGCTCACTGCTCTTCCTGCGCAACCGCAACTAGGTCTTAAAGATCCGTTCTGAGCTTTTGTAAGTAAAAAAAGACGTCCCAGATTAAAATTCCAAAAAAGCTATTGCAGACTTCTGGACTTAAGAAAAGGTGTGAATGGGATAACGGTCGCAGACTAGGAAGCATAGGAATAGTTAAAATATCTCATAGCTACTTGAGAAATAAGTTTGAATAAGATTTACATTGTGATGCAAATTTTAAAAATTATTCTTGCGGTATAGTTTTGTATAGATTGCTGAAAGGTCAATTACACTCTTCCAAAATTCAGAAGATTTAACAAAGCGCACAAACATCGTAAATGCTAAACGACGCACCACACGCGAAGCACGTGATAGGCGGAGATTTTTTTTGTCATATTCGAACCCGGTTACTGCGAAACAGCACCAGGCGACCTTAACCATTAGACCATCACGCCGCTGCCTGAAGTGAAACGGATTTGTCAGGCAAACTAATGAATAAAATGTTAAGGTTCCAGATAATAAAAACGCATGAACCAGTGTCCGTGAGGTAGACTGTTTCAAGGATCTTAGAATTTGGTTCATCTTTATAATTTAAAGCAAATAATGATAAAATAGAATTATTGAAACATCATTTTTAATAGAAACCGAGTTAATCTTTAACTTTGCTAATTTTAGCCAAGCAAAAGTTTGGTTTTGGTGTTATTGTTTATATTGTTATCATTTGTTGTTATAGTATTTTAACGCCTTTGCATTATTTGGTTAAATTATCTTTAAAAAATGGTCATTTTCCTAAATGTTTAAAAATTTCTTAAGTATCACCATTATTCAAATCAGGTGACCGTCATTCTATCAATAATTATCGTACTATTTCTATTATTTCTAGCTTATCTAAATTGATTGAAATTGATTGATTAAGAATACTTAATGGTTTTTTCATTATCATAATGTTATTAGTTTTAGCCAATATGGTTTTCGCAACAAACTATCGACAGAATTTGCTGTTGTCGATGTTATTAATTTTGTTTCAATTGCTCTTGAATCCAAAAAATATACTTTAAGTATATTTATTGCCCTGTGCAAAGCTTTTGATTCCCTTGATCATCCGAGGTAGGACGTTGTTTTCTTTTCCATCAATTTTTTTGCGCCAAATTAGACGATCAGTTGTATTCATTTCATTTAAATTTAGAGCTTTCATGTCTTGCTCGATTGTTTGCGACCAGGACTTCTTTGGACGGCCTTTGAGACGTGTGCCAGGTACTTCAACATCTGCAAGAGAAGTTATGGCACTGTTTCTACTTCGTTTGACATGACCAAACCACCGCAGACGATGTTGTCGGCATTCGTCCTTTATATCATACTTTAGATAAAGTACCAATTAATTTTGAACAATGTTTGTGACACCACTGGTTACACTGCTGACACTTGGTTGAATTGTTACCTACACCAGTTTTACAAACTGAACTGGGCCATCGTCCAGTAGCTGTGGATTGGATGGGCTCACCAGTGTTCATTGCTTTGGTTTTGCTGATGTTGACTTTGAATCCATGATCGGCGAGTCTGGTGTTCCAATCTTCAACAGACGTATACCCCGATATGATGAACAGTTCAATGGATCACCTTTGCCTTTGTATAGCGGGACTGTCATGCTATAGTTCCATTCAGTCGGCATTGAGCAATTTCTCCAGATTTTACGGCAAAGTTGTAGTAACGTTTGGATACCTGCAGTACCAGATGCTTTGATAATGTCATTTGTGAGTCTAGAGGGCCCTGCTGCCTTTCCATCCATCATAGCTTTCAGAGCTTCTGTAAGCTCCTCTACAGTGATGTCTGGAATCGGACCTTCGATGGGTGGAGCATCAAAGTTGACATTGATGGGGTTTGTTTCATTTAACAGAGGGTTGAAGTATTCTCTCCACTGTATCTTGATCTCATCTTAATGATGAATGGTATTATCAAAAAATTTATCAAGTTTTAGTCAAATATTTAATGTCCTTGCTCGTCTATATGGATATTCAATGGAAATTTTGGAGAGACAAATTTTGAACTATGAAAAGTTACTAAACTTTTACTAAAAGCTTGTTTTTTTGGATGAGAGTGATGATGAATATCTTCAATTAAAATTTGTTATTGGTCAATTAAAATTAATTGGTCTTAGCAAACATGGGAGAAATTATTCTTCACAATTATTAGTATGGGCTTATTTGATTTACTCTTCAAGCTCCTCAGCATACAGAAAGTTAATTGAAAGTAAAGCATTGTGTTTGCCGTCAATGAGAACTTTGATAAAAGTCACTAGAAGTGTTAATGATGACTGTGGACTGGACAATGCTGGTTACCTAACTCTTCAATTAAATTCTCTTACTCAATTACAAAGAACTTGTCTTTCAATAATTGATAAAGTGTATGTTGCAAAGTGAGTCGAATTTAGTGAATGTCAATTGTCTGGATTGACAGCAGATGGAGAAGTTTGTTCTTTCCCTCAGAATTTTAAATAATTGTCCATCAGTTGCATGTTTAAAGCTGATCAGTGAAAATTGTAAATTGACATTGCATCATCAAGGAGTAAAACTTTGTCAATTAAAATTTGCTATTTGTAGATATGCATCTGTCTTAGCAAGCTGAAAGAAATAATTTTTCACAATTTTTTGGTATGGGCTTTTTATTTACTTTTCAAGCTCCTCAGCATACAGGCAGTTAATTGAAGCATTAAGTTTGACATTAATAAGAACTTTGATAAAAGTCACTCGAGGAGTTAATGTTAACTGTGGACTGGACAATGCTGGTTACTTAACTCTTCAATTAAATTTTTTTAACAAAGGACTTGCTTTTTAACAATTGATGAAGTGTTAGTTGCAAAGCGAGTCAAATTCAGTGGAGGTCAGTTGTCTGAATTGACGGCAGATGAGGCAGTGGCTAATACATTGTTATGCTTCATGATAAAATCATTATGTTTTAAGTATGAAGATATGGCGGCCATGTATCCCATGAATAATCTATCTACAAATCAATTATTTGTAGTTTATTTGCAAGACATCAACAGAGGAGGTTTGTGGAAGCCAGCTGAAAATACATTTTCAACTTGTCTACACTGCTGGAAAATTTGTCAAACTATGAATAAATCAAAAACAGCTATGAAACTTTTCAAAACCTCGACCTATCAACGAAGATTTTTCTCAATACTTGTAAATAATTATACAATAAATGACATTTTGTTGGTTGAAAATATGTTGTTTTAGTTTTCATAATTTCAAAGAAATGACCCGTAAACCTTTTTTCGACTGCATCTGTAAAAATTTGTTAAAAAATATTTATGATGGTTGAAATATAAGTAAATTTAATAAAAATAATTAAAAAAGTTGAAAAGTAAAAAAAATAATTTCATTTTATATTTTTTTATTTCATGAATTTTCGATAATTTTTAATAAAAAATGAATTGTTAAAACAATTTTCTTGTTTCGTTTATATAAAATAAAAAACAAAATTATATAATTGCACTACTTAACTGGACTCTTACGCGCGCAGCACAAAGGCCAACTAAGCAACACGAGCGTTTAAAGGTTTCATATCTACAGGCCATTTCGAATACTTTACTATAAGTATAGGATACTGTGATGCTGTCCGTCCGAAGCTCGTGCGTGTAGGATTGCGCTGCTTCCCCGTGCACAAGAAACTTGTGTACCTGTTGTACATATATATTAATTCTAAAATTAATTGATACACGTATGGAAGGAATAGTACAAATATTTAAGTAGTTCTGCATGTGCCATGTACCAGAGCTGCTTAGTAATGAACAAAAGAAATGTAAATTTCTTGCGTCCAATCTATTAAAAATTTTGGTTCCCGCAATATATGTTTTCTTAATATTTATTGTTTGTAGCAATTCTATAATTTTATAATTTTACACATATATAAAATATATCATATACTCTATATATGGTTTATAGAATTTAATCATAGAAATTGAAATATAGTATCTGCATCATGCACGCCACTGAAAAATATAGCAAGAGCGTATACTTTGTTATTTGTAAGTGACCTAACTTCCAACTAAGTGAGTATGAAAAAAATAGTTAAAACAGTTTAGTTTGAGATTTTATGCTTTATATTATATTTCAGTCTCACAGTAGTCGTTTTAGTGTTACAAATATTATATATATATCTTAATGTTTATAGTTTTAACTCGTTGTAACAAAGATTAGGAATGTTGGTGTACCCAAACAAATTATTAGGCAGTTTGTTTGGCGTTCCAAAGTTTTGATTGTTTTGTTGTTCAAATTTGTTCTTATTCACGTTTTTTAAAAGTAAATTAAATTTGTTTTGTAACATTTTACAGCGCTGTTCGGAATTTGATTTATTGAAGTTTTCATTTTTTAAACATGTCGTTTAATTATATCGTTACAGCTCATAAACCGACATCTGTTACAGCTTGCTCTTTGGGTAAAGTTAATCTATTTTATTGTTTTTTTTTCATCCACGTAGAATAATTTTGCCTTACCTATAAAATAGATAATTTTTAAAATTTGCACGTTTATGTATAAGTCTCAATCTAAATTATTTCCTAAGTATTTATCAGATATATCATGAACCTAAACGCCCCGGTTTACGATTGTCTTTTTATTCTCGCTTTTTCTTAACTCATGTTAAACATGTTAAACACTCTTTTGCCAAATCTGCTTTTGCTTTTTCTGGTCCTTTTCCCTGGAACTCTCTACCTACTTCTCTGACTACTTCTCCATCACTTGCAAAGTTCAGAGCGGATCTCAAGACCCATCTCTTTTCAAAATTCATTGAGGAGCGCTGTTGAACATCAAGGAAATAGCGCTTTATAAGCTAATTGATTGATTACTACTCTTCTTGTTACTTCTTTTCTCATATATCTCCATATATAATATCTTGTTCTCTTGCACTGGCTACCTGTATAAAATATTAAATAATTTTTAAAATTTGTACATTTGTGTATAAGTCTCTATCTTAATTATTTCTTAAGTACTTATCAGATATATTAATTAATTGAGCCTATTTAAAATCTTTTTGTTCTCTTTTCATCTTAACTTAATTTTTGAATTAAATAAACTATTTTGCTAAATCTGCATTTGTTTATTCTGACCCTTTTCTCTTGATCTCTCTATCATCTTATCTCACTACTTCATCGCTTACAAAGTTCAGAGCGGATCTCAAGACTTATATGTTTGCAAAGTTCATTGAGGAGCGCTGTTGAACATTGTGAAAATACCTCTTTATAAACTAATTAATTGATTCGTTTCTTTGGGCAAGGTGCTGAATTGTCAGTTTCACTCAGCTATGTTACATGATTGGCATTTAGAATAGAATAAAATAAATTTGCAGCACAGGCATTATCTACCCAATATAATTGTATTCTGTATTGTATTGAAAATCATTTACAAGCGTCTCTGTCAAGTTATCTTTTGAAATATAGGGATCCTTTAATGAAATTTTGCATCAAGCCATGTTATGCTAGGTTAATTCTACATTTGAAATATTATTACTCTTTTTTGAATGAAACCAAAAAATCTGTTTTCAATACATACCCTTTTTATTGACAGGTGATGCTAATAAGGCCAATAACTGGTTTCATTGAAATGTTGTTACAATTGCCTATTAACTAACTGTTGAGTCAACAAATGTTTTCTCATTTGTTATCAAGTCGATAACTGCAACGCAACTGTTATGACATTCCACTATCTCTTCCTGTTTATATCCAGCTAGTTTTAAATGCATCAGCTAGTCTGGTCTGTTTGAAATTCCACTTTACATCAGATGTGTACGTACTGGCTGACTTCAAATTAGCTCTCCTTGTCAAGGAATTTCAGAAAACAACTCCAACTTGTTTCTTAAGTTGTAAACTCAACTTGACTGAGATGATCCAATAATGGTAATCTTTAACTTCCATGATTAAAATGTCGTTTTGGAAAGAGAATATTTCTTGTTTTATTGGCACAAATCTGAAACTTGCTTTCTGTATATAGAAAAAATTTCAACAAGGCGCATTCTCAAAAAAGAATCTATTGTCTACTGAAGAGAGAGGCAGTGTACAAATCATGATATACAGTTCAATGCTTTCATCTTTTTCAAAAGACCAGTCTTCACTGAATCTGTGTTGATGATTGTTCGTTTAGCTCAGTTTCAAATAGAACATTTGTGTTATGATTGTCAGTTACCCGAGTTTTATGTAAAGTTGCTCATGCAATTTTGTACCAACTGAATTCACTTTTTTTGTTAAATTATTTTTTATTTTGTTATTGTTGATATTAATATTATTAAATAATTTGTCACTAAAATATTTATTCAAGGTAATTTCACTTCAAATAATGATTTGAACCTAATTGTGGCAAAGAATTCAAGACTTGAAATTTTTTTAGTAACCCCTGAGGGCCTAAAGCCACTGAAAGAAATTGGCATATATGGAAGGATAGCACTGTTGAAGTTATTCAGACCTCAGGTTAAATTCTTCATTCAATATAGATCGATGATACTACAAACATTAGACTGCCAATCAAAATTAAGCTGAATTGATTTTAGTAATGTTTATATGAATGTATCACTGTTCATTATGTGATTGCTGGTTTTTATTTTATCTTTTATCGTTAAACGATTGCTGGTTCTTGGGAGGTTTTGTTAGATAAGGTACTGCTCCGTACACCAAGTTTTATGCACGCTCATGATTTATGAGGCTAGTTTTCACTGAACAGTTTTATGCACACACTTGTAATTGCTTCTCTCTCTGAGGGATTTTTACATTTTATTTTTTTACTTTTACCTATTTGTTTATTTTTGTGTGAAGTAAATTGATTTGTAAATTCATATACTTATCATATGAAAACAATTTGTTTTTTAAAGAATTCCCAGAGAGACCTCTTGTTTATTCTCACCGCTCGGTACCAGGTTATGATATTAGAATGTGAGAAGAATGATTCAAATTATGAAATCGTCACCAAGGCTTTTGGGAATGTTCAAGTCAGTTGCAGTTTCAATGTTTTTAATTTTTATGCAATTGTGCAATTGTGAGATCTTCAAGAAAGTTGTCTATGATGGATGAAGTTTGAAAAAATGGCAAGTGGTTTCGTTTCAAAGTTCAAAAACTGAATCGACTGAGTTATTTGCTGAATCTGTTGACATGTTAGATGGAACTTTTGAATCACGCACATCTTCAACTGAAGATAGAATTAATTTAAAATATTTCGTTTCTCGTTTTGGGTTGACCACTTAACATGAAAAACATTACACTACCAACTTGAAACTCCTTAGAGACCCAAGTTTTTTAATTTTATCAAATGTTTAAATTTAGGTTTCTTCAAATGGTTATTGTACTCTAATGTGTTATTTAATTTAAAACTGTTATTAAACCTGAAATACTGAAAACACCCTGTGAAATTACAACCCCTACAATCCTCTGTCATTTTTAGAATTTAATTGCTTAAATTTAGTGAAACATGAAATCTGTGAAGAAAAAAATATTTTCTAAAAGTTCTACTATGCAACTGTTTATAAATGATGTGAATGTTTTTCATTTGAGGATCGAGTTGGTCGGGCTTCTGACCTGGGAATCATCGGAGCCATCGACCCTTCTTGCAGGTACATAGGACTGAGACTCTACGATGGACTTTTCAAAGTTATTCCCCTGGAGTATGATATCAAAGAACTCAAGGCATTCAACATCAGGTTGCGTCATATTTTACAACTCCGTACATCTCTATTGATGAAGTTATGTAAGTTCACGCTTGTTAACCACTCGACGCAGGATGGAGGAGCTGCACGTCGTTGATTTCCAGTTTCTCTCTGGTTACAACGAGCCAACCATGGCCATGCTCTACCAGGTAACTTTTCTCATCGCTATTTTCCTGAATGTCAAATTATATAAAATGTTCGTTATGCACAAGGCAAAGTTGATTAGCAGTTTAGATCTAGATTAAGCCTGACCACTGCATGCCCTGTTATCAACTTGCGTTTAAGAATCAGGATCTTTCCATGGCCTGCTTTATATGCCTCTGTCTGAAAACTTAGATACTGTTTATACGTTTTGAGCTCATCAGACAGTTCTTGAGTTTATAAACACTTTCATCTTTGCGCATCATTGCTTGGATTAAAACACATTTTAACTGGTAATCAATGTCAATTAGCAGGTGACATTGTACACTGCGTAATTAGAGATTACAAAACTTCAATAATCATTTCACCGCAATAATTTCGCTCGCATCTCCCAAACCTGATAAGTGGCAGTAGGCTGCTTGTTGTGAGGGGTGTGGGGTGTTTAAAATTGAAATGATGCCTGCAGGATGGACACGGTCGACACGTGAAGACCTACGAGATTTCTGTTCGCGACAAAGAATTTCTAAGAGGACCATGGAAGCAAGATAACGTTGAGACTGAAGCAAGTCTTCTCATATCCGGTTCGTTTTCTAAATTCAGTAATCTTTGCATGGAAATTTAAATGAATTTTCAATTTAATAGTTCCAGATCCGTACGGAGGGTTGTTGATAGTCGGACAGGAGTCAGTTACGTACCACAAAGGGGAGAGTTACGTCGCCGTGTCGCCGCCACTCATCAGAGTTTGTTCATTTCCGTATTTTTAGTTTTTGCAAACATATATTGTCTTAAACGGTAGTGGTTTTTCAATTCAAAGTTGATGTTATCCATGATATTTATGATGCTAAAGAAGTATGATTTTTTTCATATTTTCAGCAAAGCATGATAACTTGTTACGGCAAAGTTGGGATGGACGGCTTGAGGTATTTGTTAGGCGATATGGATGGTCGCATTTTTATGCTCCTGTTAGAAGTGGAGGCCTCATCCAGCAGCATCAGAGACATCAAAGTGGAACTTCTTGGAGAGGTTTCTTATTTTAGAAACTTAATTTAAAATTTCTCTCGGCTAACGATTCATTGATGTATTGTACGTAATTGAAGACCCACTTGTATTAACTTTTGATAACTTGGAATGAATGCTTAAACAGTATTTGTGAAATTACTTTTAATTTAAGTTTTTTTAAACTTATTTTCATAGGCCTCCGTGCCAGAATGCTTAACTTACTTGGATAATGGAGTTGTTTTCGTGGGATCAAGACTTGGAGATTCGCAGTTGATAAAAGTAAACTTTCTTTTTCAACGTTTGACGTGGAGTGAGTGTTAAGTCAGCACTTAACGCGCATCCGGCCTGGCGTCTCTTTCATCAAGTGCTCCGAATGGTTGAGGATGGCAGTGATGGGAAGGATTAGGCTCTTGCCGTCCTGTCTATTGAGAAGCCTCTGCATTTTTAAATCCTAACTTAAATGAATCATAAATCAGAAGTTAAATGAATTGGAAATTAGACTAGCCAAAAATTAAATAGCCAAGCAGTTTAACCTTGCTAAGTTTATTACTTTGAAGAGTTCTTGGATTGAAATGTTTTTGAAATTTACGTTCCAGCTGAATGCGTGTCGAAATGAGCATGGCCATTACATCCAAGTGTTGGAATCCTTCACGAACCTGGGACCCATCATAGACATGTGCGTTGTTGACCTCGAAAAACAGAACCAAGGACAGGTTAGTGTTCTTTTTTCATCAAATTAAACATATCTCTGATTTCGGAAAGCACTCGTAACAGCGAAATTGAAATAAAATGATTATACCTCAAATTAAACAATAAATGGTTGAAGCTGACCATTTGAAATTTTGTTTAGTCCTGCATTGAATAAAGTAACAGTTGGCAGAGTGTAGTGATTTTATTAACTAGCAACAAACTGTTCAGCAAAAATTGTGTCCAACACTTTCGTTTAAACAGATGGTCACCTGTTCGGGCGTGAACAAGGAAGGGTCACTGAGAGTCATCAGGAATGGCATTGGACTGCACGAACTGGCGAGCATCGATCTGTCTGGCATCAAAGGTTTGCTGTCCTCCACCTGTCGAGATTGAATCGTCACTCGTCGTCTCATATTTGTTTTCAAGCTTCACATGCATACAGCGTTTGTTGTCGTTGGATGATCACTTAGCCTGAATGCTTCAATTTGTTCCAGTTTTATTGTTTCACACTTGTTTAGTTTTTAGTTTATATTTCATTTTGTTTGAAACCACCAGCTTTTTATTCATGCAAATATTTTTTGTCGAAAATTATGGAAATAATAATAATCTATTTCAATGTCTGAATGAACTTTTTCGTCACCAGGAATATTTGCTCTGAGAACTGGCACGTCGAAACATTTGCACAATGTGCTTGTTGTGTCATTTGTTGCTCAAACAAGGTAGTTATTTAAATTAATTCCCTACATTTCAATGTATATTTTTTTATCTTTTTAGTAAAAAATGTTTTCCTAACATTTAGTATGTTAATTTAAAAAAAAGGTTTTATTGTATGGTTTTATCATATTCAAAAAAGTAGTGGAGGTTTCAAAAATGAAAATCTGACTTATTTAAAATTTGTATTTAAATGTTTGTAGAGTTTTAATGTTAAATGGAGAAGAGTTGGAAGAAACTGAGTTAGACTGCATAGATCCAGATCACCAAACATTCGCATGCTCCAATGTTGCTTACGACCAAGTCATTCAAGTAAATTATTCTTTCTTCTTAGTTCATTTCTTTTATAACGACACTCATTTTCATTTGAAAAGCAAACATCCAATTCCCTGAGACTCGGTCTGTGTGAAACGTCTGAACTGCTGATGGAGTGGAAGCCTCCGAACGGGCTGCCCATCAGTGTGGTTGGTCTGTCTTCCCATCAGGTACTCTGTGCTACGGGCAGGGATCTCTTTTACTTGGAAATATTGCCTAAGGAGATGAAAGTTGTTGGGTGAGAACTTAAAGTGTTGCTCGCTTAATTTGATATAAAATTGCATGATGAACAGCTGAGAGAGAAAATAAATGATGGCTTTATGGTGTTGCTGAACCGATATTGAACTCTTTCAATGTTGAATGATGTTATATAATATAATTCCCACGCAGGGCTGTTAACTATTTTATTCACATTCATATTTTAAGCCTCATCATTTGCGTGAATTATTTTGATGTTACTGTGACTTATGAATGTATTAAAATATGCTGATTCGAATGCAGGCAATGCACCTTGGAGTATGAGGTGGCTTGCATAACGATCCCTCTGTTCGATGAATCGACCACACACGGCACCATCTGCATCGTCGGTCTGTGGACCGAGGTTTCAATAAAAATTATCAGCTTACCTCATCTGAAGCTCATCCACAACGAGTCTCTGGCTGGAGGTCTCTTTGTTCTCTTCTCACTGCTCTGTTGTAGTTGAAACGACTTGATTGATCTGAAAAAATATCACATGATTGGCATTGTCTAATTAATATGCTGATTATTTTTTTAAATTAGTGTTTATTGTGTTGATGTTGTTAATGTATTTCTATTATCCAAGTTAAATTTTTGATACCCAGATGTTTTGTGATGAAGTCCTGTTTAACACAATTTTAACTTTGTTTATTCAGAAGTCTTGCCCCGTTCTATACTGACGATTACATTTGAGAGCATCACGTACCTGTTGTGTGCCCTGGGGGATGGCACGTTGTTCTACTGGGTCTTCGCTCTCGACGACTGTTTGTTCACTTTTCTTATTTCGGATTTTATACAACAGTCCGAATTTAATTTTTTTATTTCCTTTGATTAATTTAAATTCCAATTCGCCATCTTACTTTCAGTTTCACTGCAGTGCAAAAAGAAGGTGACCATAGGAGCCCAGCCGACCACGTTGCATCTCTTCAAAAGCAAGTCCACCACGAACATATTCGCATGCTCCGACAGGCCTACTGTTATTTATTCAAGCAATCAAAAGCTTGTTTTCTCCAATGTGAACCTAAAGGAAGTGACCCACATGTGCCCCCTCAACTCACATGGATACCCCGACTGGTTCGTACTCGTTCCAAGCTCACTCTTCAGTGGGAACTGTTTCATTTTATTTGATAAAACAGACAGACAACATTTCACTGATCTCATTTTTAAAATGTCTCCATTCAAACTTATACTACGTATTACCTATACTACGTAAGACTTATACGACGTAATACTTATACAACGTAATAACTACTTATAACTACGTAATACTTATACAACGTAATACTTATACTACGTAATTATATAAACACAAAAATACAGCCTGGCTCTGACCAGCGAGAATGCATTGACCATCGGTCTGATTGACGACATCCAGAAGCTGCACATCAGGACCATCCGACTCTACGAGACGCCGAGGTTCTCCCTGCCTTGCAATTTATTCCAATTCATTCTGCTAAGATTTCTATTTTGTTTTTAATTTTTCAAGAGCAAGGATGCGATGTCAGTTATTATTATTAATTATCCATTATTATTATTAATTGCATAATATTAACGATGCTGTATTATATTATTATTGTTTTTGTAATTTTTCACAATTAAGCGTGCTATTGCATGCCAAAAACGTCCAGATCCTATTTCCTTTATTGTTAGTCCAACATCTTTCAAATGCTTTTCCAAGTGATCTATCTACCTTCTTCCATTGTAAGCTTATTAGTCTGAGGTTGTCCAGTTGTCGTTTTTCTCATTTAAGATAGTCTCTATAGAAATTTTTGTACATTCTTCTAGGCCGCTTCATTCTGTAGAGAGCTACAACATGGCTAACTTAACTTATCATGGACGTTGGGGGATTTTTTAAAATAAGCAGTTACATTGCCGAAAACAGTTTCTATCTTCTGACAGAACAATTTATAAACAGTGAAACACGAAATATAGAATCCCTGTTAGTTTTACGCTCCAAGCGTAAAACTGCATCTTTTAATAGATTTATTATTAGTTAATCAAATTTTTGTTTTCATAGATTGTTAAACTATTTCACTCCTTTTGATAAGGATACTAAAAGTTGAAAGACTGATAATTTATTTTGGCGTGAATTGCCCAAGAAATTTACCGGAACGTAACAAAAATTATCAGTGGTCTTTTAAAAAAATATTTTTATAAGTTCCAACGTCGACGTTGCTGAAACGTTCGAATGATCTCCATGTCTTGTCTTTTAAATGTCTGTCAAAGAATCCTTCACTTGTTAAATGTGCGGCTGTACTCGTTCGAACGAGGTCCTGCTTGATATAATTCCACTTAAATATCTGAAAATATTATCTTACATGGAAAGTATCCACTTTATAGGAAACCATTACGAGAATGTTTTGCTTTGTTGTTTATGTGAGGGAGTGTTTGAGAAAACATATGCAGTATGCAGTAGCAGGTTTTTTAATTAATTGAGTTTTTTATTGTCCCTGAAAAACAGGCGTATAGTACACCAGGAAGCTACTGAAACGTTTGGACTGGCAACCAGCAGAGTTGATGTGCACAATGAGAATGGTGCTTATGCTCCCAAGTACCCATGCATCAGCTACAATGCACAGGTTGACCAAAGTACATTTGTTTCGAAACTATTTTCAATGCAGATAAAAATTTAACCCAAACTAGAACGCTTTTGACAGACAAAGTGAAATAATACTTGAAATTTGTAACAATTAATAAAAATGCCTAGCAAGTATTTGATGAATGATGATCTATGCAATTCTATTTCTATACAATAACTCAAACGTGTTTGTCTTTATCGTCAAAGCCCAATAGATGGATTTCAAAAGTATTTAAATTTTTTGATTATTATAGTTTCTTGAATTTTTATTGTTTTGTGTTGTTTCGACATTGGAGTCCTTTTCGCGGCAAAGGATTTCAATTGCATCTCTCAAATATTTGCACTAGAGCGATATCTGGAAGAAGTGGTTTAAAAAGGAATGATGCGGTGCTTTCCACAAATAATTTTGCAATCTTTTCTGCCTTGATAATGGTGGATGAAAAATTACACGGACAACCGTTTTAAATATTCATTCAAAGTCTCATCAAAACTAAATAATTTCAAGTACATTATAAACCGGTTAATGGGACCACACTGGGACTTCTTGATCTGATTGGTTCAAGGGGCTGGTCCGATTAAAACACAGTTGACTTTTTTAAAATATAAAATGTTATTGTTTAACAGATAGTTTGGTTTAATATTTGTTTTGAGGAATACCATGTTGACTTAATTAAATTATTAAAAAATAATTCTGAACAAAAATTAAAAGAAATCATTACAATTCTCACTAACGACGTCGATTTTGCTGTTCAAACTCATAATTTATTTTTATTCCATTAATGGGATCAGTTTAAATACTGCTTCACGTTGACAAACTTTAATCACGACACATCACTAATGCTATGCGTACCTCACACAACACATGGAATCAGTGATAAATAAGCTTTCATGTCAGTTTTTAAAATCGTTTATTCAAGGAATTCTGAAGCTCTTTATTCTCGCAGTAGTGTGGTGCTTTTGAAAAATGCTTGCTCAAAATTACATTTTCTTTTAATTTTTAAGTAGAGTATAATGATCAGATTTCTTGTTGCTTCAATTTCAAAAACTTTTGCTTTAAATTTTTTTAAAAATCGAACTGCTATCGACATGTTTATAAAAATAGTAAATAAATGTTTACATGTGAGATCAGGCGATTTCTGAAGCGGTAATAAAGTTTAATATTTGCATGCATGAACTGAAACACACACAGGCGCACCAGCAGGCTTCACTGTACAAGCAGCACCTGATGTCGCATGTCGACAGCGAGCCTGAAGATCTTGAAGTCCACAGTTTCCTCATCATTGATCAACACACATTCGAATGTTGGTGAACATATTTATTGTCACAATTTATTTTTTTATTGCAATAAAAGGATATTAAGAAATCTTACGGGGACATATTTCATTTGAAGTGAGAATCGTTTTGCAAGTGGCAATTCACTCAAATTAATTTAACACACCTGGTGAAAGTGGTTGTGGTCGGTCGTAATATTGCTTTAATATAAGAGCAATCAAATTTGAAAACAGTATTGGCATGTCACCAGTTGTCAGCCAGTGAGCACATTACGGCCACGACATCAGCAAAATTCGGAGATGATCCAACTACATACTACGTCATAGCCTCGTGCATTGTTAATCCGGAAGAAAAAGAACCCAAGCAAGGAAAACTGATGATGATGCAGTATTATGAAGGTTATTCGTTAAATTTGTTTATAGAATATCTATGTGTGTATGTACGCACTTATGTACGTATGCATGTATGTATGTATGTGTGCATGCATGCATGTTTGTATGTATGTACGTATGTATGTATGTGTGCATGTATGTATTATTATTATTAAAATTTATATAGCGCCAATTAAAGTTGAAAATTTTCATCAGCGTTTTAATTTATTTGAGCTGGAAGACCTCAACTGCCCATGAGTTTCCTGGGAGGAAATTTTATGCATTTATCAAGCAGATCTACTCAGGAGCCAAATCGTTTTGACATTTAAACTCATTACCCTAAGCTTAAACAGGATTCTTTGCTCGCCTTCAGACAGGCAGTCAATGCAGTTCTATAAGATCGGAGAGGCGTTGTCGAACCATAAACCGCCAACTATTATCTTGAATTATTTTGATATTTTTTACTCATTTATGTTCTTTTTTCACTAACAGGAAAATTAATATTAGTGTCAGAGAAAGAAGTGAAAGGGGCAGTTTACTCCATCTGTGAGTTCAATGGCAAATTGTTGGCAGCTGTAAATAGTTCTGTTAGAATATTTCTTACATTCTTTCATTTATTTTTCATTTTAAAATTACCGATTCGTGATTTTAATGAGTCGTTATTTGTAATATTAAACCTTATATATTGTAATAGTGATGTTAAAAAAGTTTAGCATTCAATTTTTGAAAGTTTTTTGTGAAGAAATTGAAGCAGCTTAATTGAAAAACCATTTTTTGCTTGCAGATACGTTTGTTCGAATGGACATCGGAGAAGGAGTTTCGCCAGGAAAGTAGCCATCTCAACAACATTTTAGCACTGTTCTTGAAAACAAAAGGTGACTTCATCCTCGTCGGTGACATCATGAGGTCCATCACTCTCCTCATGTACAAACCGGTGGAAGGTGCCTTCGAAGAGGTGCATGCGTGTGTTTGTGTCGGCGTGTCTCTTTTTTGCTCTCGCCTCCTAATCTAATGTTTTATACTGAAGTAGTTTTACTAAAAACAGATCTGATCTAATTATCATCTAAATTAAGCTAGCTAAACTTTATGTTATAGATTAATTTGCTTTTTTTATTAGATTTGTTATTATTTAGCGATTGACGGTTAAAAAGTAATAAATGTAATGTAAAGACGGTTCTATTCTAAGATAATAGCCTATACAAAAATTTGAGAGGTGGAAAAATTATGATTCCAATGTTATCTTGAGTACACTAAACCTATGCGTTTTGAGTTATGGCGAGTCTCTAAATGACAGTTTAGTTTTATATTTGATTGCACGCTGTAATGGTAGCCCATTCATTGATGATGACTATTACTGAATTGTCACATTTAATAAGCATTAGTGTGGTAATGTTGAAGGTCATCGTCATGCTGATTGAAATACGCCTTAAAATAAGCAAGTTAAAATATTTTAAACTGAATTTTAATATTTGGAATTGCATAATTTCTACACACAGTGGTAGAACGTGGGCATCAGTATCAATCGTGGTTATGCAGATTACGCTTAAATAATGGACTAACTTTTTGAACTCGCAGATCGCTCGAGATTTCAACCCGAACTGGATGACTGCGGTTGAGATATTAGACGATGACACGTTCCTGGGAGCTGAGAATGCCTACAACATCTTCACCTGCCAGAAGGATAGTGCGGCAACAACCGACGAAGACAGGCAGCATCTTCAAGAAGTTGGACTTTTCCACCTCGGAGATTATGTAAATGTTTTCAAACATGGTAGGCAAACAATTTTTCTAACATTGATATATTTTATTAATACATACATTGTATTGTCAGGATTTTCTGACAATATTTACAAACTGAAGAATAAGTTTTGTTCAAAAAGGTTGTTGTAAGATTTGTGTGCTCCATCATAGCCCTGTATATTTTGTCAAGAGTAAATCAAAGGTAGGGTATTTTTTTTAGTATCTCGTCCAGGTATACATTTATTTCCTAAGGAAGGTGTTGGTCAGGTTCCATCTGTTTTGCCATAAATTATAAACATAACTATCTATTAAGAGATTGAAATTGACTTAAGAAAGTGATATACATATATGTGTTATAGATTAACTTTTGGCTACTGTTAGCATCATGGAATGTATTTTATAAATAATTTTAATAAATAATTCGAATTAATTTAATTTATGAAATTGAAAGAGAAATATTTTAAGTCTAGTTTAAAAATAATCAAGGTGAGAAATCATTAATTTATTCATCCACATAGGGGCCATTCAATAATTACGTCACGCTTTTTATGCCATTTTTTAACCTCTCCCCCTTCCTGTCACATCCTGTCACACTCAGTTGACTCCCCCTCCAATAATTATGTCACGCCCGACCATCACCCCACTTTACGATCTATAACCTATTACTAATAGATTATAGATAACATCATGACCTAAGTACAAAGTTTTAAATCAGGACAAAAATGTCTCGTAACGATCCAGTTCATGTTCATGGCTAATTCTACAGTTCGGTCCTCACTGTTGCCAGATGTTGCTCCATTGTAGCCAATGAAATGTGTGTATCATTGCCAGCATTATCTACTTTCAATCCTGTACACAAAGAAATTACGTGTATAAGTTTGCTTTCGAATAACCTGATTTATTAATCTAAAATAGAAATCACAATGAGTGAATAAAGAACATAAATAAAATCAATTGAAACAATATGAAATATTACAGAAATTATAAATGAATAACCAACCTAAAATAGAAAAATTAAATTCCAGGATCGTTTACAAAGCCAACAATAATAAAATATTACCACGTGCAATAATAAAATATCACCACGTGCTATTTGCATTTATATATAAGATGATACCAAAGTAATGAAACCTAATTTACGATCACAGAATAGAAATAGATAGATAATTATATGAAATATAATTTACATCTCTCTCCCTCAAGTCACTTTTTGAGGTACATAAAGTGACAATTTATTAATGTGAAAAAAATGTGATTCCTTCTTCTTCTTTCCGCAGTCTACTTCGAAGATCGACGGTGAAATCTTGCTAAGAATTCTGTCCATTTTACCCCTATTAAGTTTACTTCCATTCTGGATATAGACTTGATTACCCACTTCAAATTTGTACTCTTGACGATTTTTGTCAACCCTTTTCTTGTTTATTTCAAAATTTTGCATAGAATTTCGACCGGCTTGTATTCTATCTGCAGCTAAATCGCTTTCCGGTATGTCATATGGAGTGATAGTTGACTTTATGCCGTATAATAAGTATTCAGGTTCAAATTTCGTGGAACTATGAATTGTCCGATTGTATTCTTTGACACATTCGTCTGCAATAACGGACCATGCCTGTTTTTTTCCACTGTTAAGTTTACATCTTATTCTGTTTACAAGTGTTTGGTTTAGTCTTTCATTTAGTCCATTTGATTGAGGGCAATCTACGCAGGTAAAAACCATTTGAATATTCATCTTGTTTAGATACTGCTTTAGTTCTGAAGAATTAATTCCGGTGTACTGGTCGGCTAAAAGTATTTTAATATTATTTTTCTTAGCAATCGGATCAATTAACTTTATGAAATCTTCTGCGCATTGACTTTTTGTAGTGGAAATCCAAGCATATCTACTAAAATGATCTACCAAAATATGCATATATTTCTTTGGTGACATATTACCGGCAAATCCACCAACTGTGTCAATGGACATAATTTGGAATGGTTCTGATTAGTTTTGACATTAATCCGATGATTCTATTTCTTCTAGTTTTGTTCTCTAAGCATATAGTGCAACTTTTACAAAATTCTTCAATTAGTTGATCAAAGTTTTTGAAATAATAAAATGGTCTTATTTTCTCTTTCAATGTTCCAGCTCCAATATGTCCATAATATTCATGTACCTTTTTTATTATTCTTAAACCAAATTTATCAGAAACAAATATCTTTGATTTGTCCTTCAATTTTTTGTAAATAATACCATGGTGTTTTTCAATCTTCTTGGCACTCTTTAATTCAGTCATGTTATCATTTTGATCCTGAAGAATTTCAGGTCTTTCAATTAAATTTACAACTTGGACTGCATCCTCACTTTCAAAATATTCTAATACTGGTGATCGAGAGAGTAAATCAGCCATTATATTTTTCTTTCCTTTCTTATAAATAATTTTAAAGTTGAATTGAGACAAATAGTGCACTAAATCGCCCAATATTTCATCTGTTCTACCTTTCGTTTTTAGATTCTCAAGAGGTTTGTGGTTACTACAAACAACAAATTCACGACCAATCAAATAATATTGCCAGTATTTTATTGCGTCTTTGATAGCTTTGCATTCAAGATGGATGATGTCCATTTTCTTTTCTTTTTCTGATAATTTTCTTGAGAAGTATGCGACAGGATGTAACAAACCATCAGGATGTAGTTGTTTCAAAGTAGCTCCCATTCCTTTATAACTGGCATCAGTTTCAATATAAGTGTCTTTGGCTTTATCGTAAATGGCTAAGATATCGTAAATATTCTTTTATCAAGTTGAAAGAATCTTCACAATCTTGAGACCAATGAAACTTAACTTTGGTTTACGATTATACTGTATAGGTAATGTTATATAGTGATTTAAATCACATCTGTGTGACATGGGACATATTGTTTTTAAGAATTTATATCTAACGAAATGATTCTGAAATTAGGAATGCCGCAAGACTCAGTACTACGACCTTTTCTTATTATCACGTACACTGTTGAGGTTTTCAAAGTAATATATCATAAAACGTTTTTGTTATAATTGGTCAATGTCACTGTCATAAATAGCGAACAATTTTATACAATAAGGGTCGCTGGTAATGAATCAAACAGGGGAGTCAGGATGCTCAACACACGGATCTGTTCTTTTTGGAACGGTACATGGAACTCTAGGTTCGTTTTGTTGAGAAATCTAAAAATCAAATTTTTCAAAAGGTAACTAGAATCAATTGTCCATATTAAATCTTCTGAAGGTTTTCAAGTAAGGCGCTATACAAGTCATCGAATATGAATAAAAACTTGCTTTGTTGTTAGTCTTACCATAATTTAAATTTTTGCAGGTCTCATAACCCAATTAAAGCCAGAATTTTTTTCTTTTTTGCTGGAACTTCAGCAAAAATTGACCAAAGTTATCAAGAGTATTGGCAAGATAGAACATTCGAAGTTTGTCATACATTATAATGTTGCAAAAATAAAGTTGTGCTTTAACATGTTTTAAATGTTTAAATGTTTTAAATAGTTTGACTACAACGATCCAAGTCAAAAGTATAAAATAGTCTTTAACACGAAATTTTTCGCAGCTGGAGATCATTCAGAACAGATCGTAGGGATGAGGGATGCATTGGATTTATAGACGGAGATCTTATAGAAAGTTTTCTTGATCTGAGCAGAGATAAGATGCAAGCCGTCTGCTCCGGTCTCACGGTCAGTTAATGTTCATTTACTTTGTGGAAGTCTTAAAAATGAATTTTTTTGAATACTCCGTTAACTTATTATCTGCCTTTTTCAGATTGACGAAGGCAGTGTTACAAAAAAAGAAGTTACTGTTGACGATTTAATAAAAATTGTCGAAGAACTGACGAGAATCCATTAACTGCTAACTCGTTTTAATTTATTTTTAGCATCAACTATTAATTCTTTTCATTCATAATTTTGTGTATCTAAACAAAAAAAAAATCTGGTTGGCTTAAATACGAAAAAAAAGAAACTTTTAACACTGAAATCGTTCAGTTGATGTAAGTCCAGCGTAAATTACTGGCGTTCGATGAGTTAGACCGATTGGATAACACATAGCGTTCGGGTCATGTTTGTTCATTCTCGAGCAAATAAAATTTTTCGTTTCGTTTAATTGCCGTCAATTACCAAAGCCTTCCGTCACAGTATCCTCTATGCCCCAATAACAGCCGGCCCCCGGATATAGACAACATCGGTATCGCCATTCCTTCCGATCAGATCACAATGGGTGTGACATGACTGCTTGCTGTACTTACTTCCAGTAAAGTTTATATTGGGAAAATTTGATAGAGCAACAAATTATAACACACGACCTAGAATTTTATTGTAATGTTTTTCTGACGAAAAGATAAATACGAATTGCACGTGAAAACATGAGTTGTGTGCATTCAACGTGTTGTGCGCAATATAGCGTTAAGTGGTATTTAAGTTAAACCGTGAGAATTATGGATCGACCGATGCTATGAAGAAATGATTGGAGATTGTGAACGATACTGGATACAGAAAACAAGAGAAGAATGACAAAACACAATGTCTGTCTGTACAAAATTGAAAAAAAAACTGATAAAATGGTTCACGGCTCTCAAAATGTGATATAGTTAATTTATTGACGCTTGTTAAATATCGATTAAAATAAATTTGTTAAAGATAAGTCCTGCATGATAAGAAGGTAACGTTAACACCTCGCTGAAAAAAACGATAAAAATGACTAACAGAGTGAGTTTTGGTGTTGACGCAATGAGAAACGAAAATAGCAAGCGTCGTTAATACAAAAATATACTTTCAATGGGAAAAAAATTTAATATATCAAATATTATTTTTCAACATCTACCAGCTCGTTTTGTTCTGTTTTTAAAGATTTTGAGTGGTTAGTGGCGTTCATGAATTGTTTGGCTTGTTTGATGAGTTCTTCTTGTGTTTTCGTCATTCCACAGGCCACTTTGAACCAAAGATCAAAACTCTGCAAAAATTAATCCATCGTCAATTAATATTTTAAATATTGACAGTGAGCTGAGAAATAAATTGCAATTAACTACCGGTTGTGGCACGAAAACAAGAAGCGGCGAGCAAAATTTACAAAACCAAAAGTAGACTACTACAAAAACATTACCATGGATAACTGATTAAATATGGAAGCTTACAGTAAAAAAATGATGTCGACAAAAAACAGAGCTGAGAAATATGGATGAGATTCAAAGAATTGTGTCGTGAAATATTGGATAGTTTTAATGCTATGGACAAATGTGCGAAACAGAGAGGCTTCCCAATTGGGGGAGAGTTATAAGGAGAACGAACAAAGACGTCTGATTATTAAAGACTAAGACGGAAACATTCTCACAAACTAACACAGATGAAAAAATATAGTAAAACCTGTTTACAAACAGGAACAAGTTCAAATAAAACAAATAAAAAAATTTTTTTTATAGTGCAACAATATATGACACATTATTTAGATTTCTATTGTAATGTTCTTCTGGCAGTCAGAGTCGACAGCAATAAAAAAAGCTTGGAGCTCTAAAAGGTGCGAAATCAATCAATAAAAAATAAATTGAAAAAATAAAAACGATTAAAGAATAGATAAAATGTATTTTTTAATTGCAAAACTTTTTTCATAACAATATTTATCGCCTTAAATTTTAAAAGAGCGATATTTGATTTAAAAATAGAATATTCAATGGAACTATTTCAAACAGGTCTAATCATAATTAAAATTACCTCGGATTCCTGTTGTTCATGAAACTCTGATGCTTCGATATCCTGATGCAATTCAATGCTGGAATCTTTCAGCAACAGTTCAGCCTAAGTTTTATTCAACATCGTAAGGTTCACAAATATATTTTGAGTTTTTATAAATAACTTTCAGCAAAAAAATCTTTGAAGGTTCGGTGATTGAAAAATGAAAACCGTAAAACAAGTTGGCCTTTGTTATCGGCCATTTAAATTGTAGGCACTTGTAGAAATTGATTACATGTCGAAGCAATTTTCCCAAATCCAACCATTCTCAAGACAGCATACCCACCCGACCTATCCTACCTGCAAATTCTGAGGCTCCACACGTTTTTCGTATTTTGGTAATTGTCTCCAGCTTTTTATTTACGTCTTTGAATCAAGTCAGGCCCTTTTTTATATAATTATTTAGTAGAGCACACAACTTGTCAGAAAACTCGACATTTTGCAAACTTTTTCTGATAAAACTAAAATAGTTTTCACCAACTAAATGCTATTCAGACGTGAAAAACGATTTAAACTTAATATGAACGATTCTATAGCAGATGTCTCTCTCTGGCAGAGCATCCGAATAAAAATCTTCTTTATCAACTTACAACATCTTACCGGTCGTTTAATCGTTCCTCATCCCATTCAATAAAATTCCTTAAATTCAAGCCAAATATTTTCTGAAATGTTGAGCAAATAAAATTATTAGATTACCTCATAATCACATTCGGCGTATCTATCCAAATGCAAGTAAGCAGTATCTTTAGAAGGAATGATTTGGTTGATACGACGATCAGTGTTTTCGTGTTCACCCGGAGTTCTTTTTGATATCACACCTTTTTGTTCGATAACTTTGCCAACACTTCTGTCATTCTCACCCATCTCCAAATTATTCGCCGACAACGGGAATTGCTAGAAAAATGAAATTTGTGGAAACTACTCATTCTATTACTGCGGCTTAACTTATTAATGATTAGAATAATATACCTAGATTCATCGGAGAATCAAAAACTGGAGATTTTTTATAAATTTAATTTGTAAAGTAAATTTTACATGATGGAACGCAAATTTAAGCAAATTAAACTGAATTTTTTTAATTTTTGATAAACGCTAAGCTAATTGATAACATTTTTCAAATCGAAGGGTTTTCTTAGAATTTTGCAGCATGTTGATTTTGATCATTGTTTTCAACTGATATTTTTCACCAATAGCATTATTGACCAAGTTCGTCGTGACCAATTGTTAATTTAATGCTAAAATTTCCATTAAGATCAGCTAAACTTCATAATACATCTATTTATAAATATATTTAGGCTTGGTTTATTTAGTTAGTCATCTTCGAAGAGCATTAGTTTCATGAAGTTCCTGTGATTATATAACATGAATTCCTCTGTTGACTCAAAGGTTCACATCAAACTTTGAATTTTGGTTAATCCTTTTGTCCAATTAGTTTAAAAATGAAAAAGATACAAATAAAATAATTTGAACAAAAACTCTAACAGTTCGAAACTTAAAGCAACGAAAAGACCTTAAATCAGATTTTTCCACTTACGTGGCTTAAATAGCTACACTATAGAAGATGAGGACGAAAGGAACGAAATTAAAATACTGCCTTGCTTTCCAAGGTTCAGGGTAATCGAAAAGTCTGAAATCACAGGATCATGAACACGTAAATATATTAACAAAGTTGGCGACCCAGATATATGGCCAGAAAAAATGCTTTGTAAGACTAAATAACAATGGGAAAAATAAATAACTTTCCAGAATCTAAAACAACAACACACGTTTAGACGACATTTTCCCCGAGATCGGGGGTTGCCGTTTGGCTACCTATGATGAAACCATTGTCACTTCTGTCATCATAAGTAATTTATTTGGCTAATTTTTACGCAGGACGCCCTTCCTTACGCAACCACAGTTATAAGCGGTGGGCCTAGCCTTTGATGATCCAACATCACTCACAAGGCAGTGAGGGTCAGTTTAATGTCATAACCAGGACAGTTCCAGAATCTAAAAAGTTTAAAAAATTTAGAAATAACTATGCCCGTGTGTTTTTAAAATTAGTTTACATCAAGCACTGGTAGACGTGTTTTACATTCGTTAAACTTCAAGTTTTATTTATATATTAAACATGAATATAAAAAATGTTGAAATCCATACATTGCTTTACAATGTACGCAGACATTAGAAAATGTTGCTATCATTTTTTTGTATTTCTTATTTTCTTGATGTTCAACGGGAACGGAAACAGAATGGGAACTTGAAAATTTAACACCGATAAATCTGTCTTGAGGATGTGAAGAAATAAAACTCCTATTGGCATTCCTGTTTTTGAGGGCTACTGAAGCATCGACCACCATTATATACAAACATACACACAACATACATGGGCACTTTTTGACATTCAAAATAATACACATATTATATATAGATACAAGTACTCCTTATTCGTAATATTGTTGACATCAAGAAATTATCGTACATCGGAAAATAAACTGAAAAAATCTAGATAACTATAAACTATTAAGAAATTATCGATAGATCAAAAAACTATTGGACATCCATCGGAGCATTGTAAAATTATCGGAGAACAATTTTGTAGGGTGACCAAGACAGGTACTACAAATACAATCGCGTGTAAGTTGACCAAGAACCAAGACAGATGCTACAAATATAATTGCGTGTCGGGTGACCAGACAGGTACTACAAATATAATTGCGACGCCAATTAGTACGGAATTTTTTGGTTTTCGAATCAGGAAAGCCCATTCCTAACATACATGCACATTAGGAAAATTAAATGTTTGCATTCAGACAACGAAGGTTGTCTAATACCAGTTGTAAATAAAATTCTAATTATTTCATTTTGTTCTTCATCAAAGTCAATGAAGCTATAAATATTTATTATTTTTGAGGCGTTACGTAGTGCCAGCTAGTTTGCAATAAAAAAAATATCAGACTAAATATAAAGATATATTGTGGAAATGAAGTGAACAAACCTGAAGAAGAATACGACCTTTTACACCTAGCAGTCTGTCAGAAACTTTCTTCTGAGAACTGGAGGTTTGTACATGAAATCTTGGCAGTACAGGAGTTCGTAAAACAACCACCTTTTTGTTACTAAAACAAAATTTCGTAAATTTTTTCAATAAATTTTTCAATAAAAAATTTTTCAATAAATACTTTTTGATAAAAGTAAAAAAATTTAAAAATTGCCCATAATTTTGAAAATAAAAATTTATTCACCAATTGATTTGCAATAAAATTTTCAAAATTTAGCTGAAATGTGTCGCTGTATTTAATAATCCCAACAAGTTTGATTATTAATGTTATAGGTTGTACTGTGGTCATCAATGTTAGCAGGGTATCGTAGTAGGATAACACTTTCTACCGACACTTACAAAAAAATTCAACGAGAACTACAAACGGCCACTGATCTTCGTTGGACCTTCAAACATCAAACTGATCCTCGTTAGATCTACAAATATCCAACTGATCTTTTATTAGACCTACAAACGTCCGACAGACCTTCCTTGGGCCAGCATCATCCATTTCTGAAAAATCTCTCATTAGCAGTAGCTGCTGAAACATACTTTCCAGAATAATAGCAAAATGTTATACAACAAATAACTGTGTTGTTTGCAGGTCGAATTTGATTATTTTCAGATTCCAAAACACATTTTTGAAATTTCTCATTTCCGTTTTAACATTATTTTTTAATAATTTTTACCGGCTAATAAATGCATAAGTAATTTTAGAATTTCACTATTATTATCATTCCCTCAAACAATCTACGGCCACATGAATAGTAATACACACGTGTTTTTCATAAAATTAAACCTGTCTATATCGACGAGAATAGCATTAATTCAATATGATTACGTATCAAAATCATTACCACAAGAAACATGGTAATCATACTTCAATTCAACACTGTGGACTGGAGTGTTGAGCTGGCATTCCTCGCCATCATCACATAAAATATTCATTCCGTTCGTTAACTGTGGAGTACAATTAGGAGAAAACCCCGCAACGTGGAAAAACTGTAAAAATCACAATTTAACCAATAAATTTTAGTAAAAATTCACTTAAAAATAACAATTATAATTTTCAGTGGAATTAATATAATTTATACATTGTCTATGAAAATTACATCTTTGCTGACAAGTGAACGATTTAATTAAGCTTATTATTATTCATTTTGCATTTAAAAGCCATTTTACAAAAGCTTTTTTGGCACAAGGTATAAAATTTAAATATAGAAAAATATAAAAATTTAAGTTATTTATTTTGGTAATGTTTTGATGACACTGTCATAAGCAATTTGTTGAATAATGCAGTAAAACGCTGCCTCAACCGGCTACAACTCAATTAAAATATTTTTTTTAATTTTGCGAAATAACTAATGATCTTTTCATTTAAGAAACTATGCCTGCCTATATGGCGTTGTTTCATTTCAAAATTCATTAATTGCTTTTTTTATTGTTGTTCTATTTTGTCACTTCGAAACTTGGGTGGTTCGTTTTTTGCCTGAAGAAAAAATATGTGCAACTCTGAGATCAACGCTCAAGGATCAAAATTTAAAAACTATATATATAAAACCAGCAAAACACTATGGAACGTATAAAATAAAATGTCCATAATAACGTTGAAATTGTTTATATTTATATATATAGAGAGAAGGAGAGTTATTAACACTGACGACTATAATGTCCTTTGGAGGTGGAAGTTCTTTTTGTTTCTGCACCTTACAATACAAACTTTGTAGTTTAAAGTCTCTAACTGCTTTTCGTCGTCGTCTAAAATTCTATCACTTAAAAATCAAGCTTCGTTTTGATTATTGTTGCAATTCGTTTTGATTATTGTTGCAATTCGTTTTGATTATTGTTGCAATTCGTTTTGATTATTGTTGCAATTATAATTATTGATTGTTGCCGTTATTTGCAGTGTTTTATTTACTTTGTAACTTTTTACATCTTATTTTTCGTGTAGGGTACTGTTTTTGACCAGCTGACTTTGTTGATCATTTTCGTCAAATTCTTCAGTCAGGGATTAAGGTTTTAATGTTGAAAAAGTAACAAGATTCAGACCTATAATATTCTTTTTAAATCAATTTCAACGTCATTATAAACATTGATTTTCTAAGAGTTCGGATATATTATGTTGCCGGATGATGTCATCAGTTGACCATTTAGAATCATTATTACATAAAGTTTAATTTTCTCTTGTATTTTTATTGCTCTGTTGGCAAATAAAAGCGTGCGTGCATATGCACTAAGGAAAATAAACGTCTCTGAATCATAAGCTGCCTTGAAATTATAAAAAATAGCCCAACCTCTGATGATGGGGTCTGCGGCAGCGAGGTATCAAGTGGCGAAGGCACTGTTGATGGTTTGGTAACGAGCGATGACGTCGACGACGAAGATGTTCCGATGCTCGAGTTCCACGCTGATTCTGTCCACATATGTCGGTTAATAGCTAATTATTTTTCGCACCGTCAATCCGTATTTTATAAAAATTTTTCTATCCAATTTTATTTATGTTTCAAAATATTACAATTTCAAGTTCCTGGTTCAAGTTCCTGGTTCAATTTCAAGTTCCAAGTTACAGCTTCCACAAAAATTTTAATAATGATTCATCAAGAATCTAAAATGGTTGCACAACAGTGTTTTTCAATCAAATAATTTCAAAATGAACGTATTCTCGACTCCATGATCAACAGTGCCATTTATAAATTTAACGTTTTTATCATCAATAATTAAAACATTGTAACTTATTTTGTAATCATTATTATTATCATCATCCTTAATATAGTTTTTTTAATTCTTAATTTTAAAATATTATTAAACATTAACTAAATTATACATATTTTTTTACAAAATCAAAAAAGATCACAAAAACTTTCAAACCAATTTCTGGAGCTGACTTCACTGTTTCACTGGTTGCAGTTTGAGGTGATGCATTCGTTTTAAAAGCTGGTAAATTGAGGCCAGATGAAGCATCTGAAAAGTTTGCTGTCTTTTTACAAAAATTATCTGAAGGCTCAGCTGCTACATATTTTTTCAAAATAAAAATAGAAACGTTGAATTTTTTCTTAATGACTAATAACAATATTATTAACAACATTAATAACAATAAAAATATTAATTCTACAACGGCCCATAAACTATCGAACGCAGTTCTAATCAGCATTTTTTGTATTCCATTCATCAGCTTCTACGCTCTAAGCAGTAAAACAACAAATATTTGATCATCCCAAGACTTTTGAAATACATGCTCCAGTATTTAGAATAATAATAAGTGCATTGAATACAAATTCATTCTTGGTTGAAGAATGAACCACTTTAATTTTATACGAGAAATAAAGATAAAAGACACAAAAACAAATTAATTTTTCACTCATTTTAATTTTTTCAAAACAGAACAACATCAAAGTATTATTTTTATATTTTTATTGCGCTTCAGTAAATTGTTTAGGCAAAATTAAATTTTACTGTCTGCCATTTTCATCTAAAGCCTTCATCACACCAAACAAGTAACGACAGCATTATTCAGCTTAACACGTAAAAAGTCCTTTCATCAATTACAAAACCCCGCTGCCATTTACAACAACGTAGTCAGTATTCAGTGGAGCAGTCAGCTTCAGGCTCATATACCATAGCTTTCATAAAAATATTAGTGTGGTGACAAAGAGACGTTCTCCATTATTAGGGCAGTTTAATTAGTTAATCAATCTTAAATTAGTTCAAACATTTAAAATTGAGCTTGCAGAGCTGGTATTTTAAACGTACGAAACAGTATTTTTTAAAAAAAGTATGCAGATGTGTCAGAAGATATGGTTTTATGATTTAAACTAGAAATAATAAATATACAAGTTTAACGACGCAAACATCACACTCAATTTCTCAACGCACCTAGAGCTGGTCACCTCGAAAATACTTCAAAAGATTATAGATCGGTTTTTTAAATGACTGCCAGACGTTATTTGTTATTAGACGTTATTATAGACGTTAATGTCCTGGTTATGACATTAAACTGACCCTCACTGCTTGTGAGTGATGTTGGATCATCAAAGGCTAGGCCCACCGCTTATAACTGTGGGTGCGTAAGGAAGGGCGTCATGCGTAAAAATTAGCCAATAAAATATTTCTGATGACAAAAGTAACAATGGTCCTCAGTATCCGGCAGAGGAGGGTGCGAAGAATCCCCGGAGACCCAGCCCATGGAGTGCGGTGCAAGGTTCTGTGGATGGTCTGGCTACTGGCACCCCACTCTATAGTGTTGCGGTGCAAGGCACTATAGATGGAAAGATTACTTATAGACCAAAAAGTTGGAGGTTTGGTACCTGGAATGTAGGCACGTTGACAGGAAGGAGTTTTGGTGGAGGAGTTGCAGAAGAGAATGGTTGACGTGGCTGCATTACAGGAGATCAGATGAAAGGGAGAGGGTACAAGGTTTGTGGGGGCTAAAGGTGGAAGATATAAGTAGTGGTGGAAGGGGGATGATGGTACGGGAGGAGTTGGTGTGATGGTAAGAGAAGAGTTGGTGGAGAAGGTGATGGAAGTGAGGCGGAAAAGCAATGGTGTAATTATGGTGGTGATAGTGTTTGGAAAGGTAATAGTGAGGGTAATATCAGGATATTTTGAAGGATTAGGAAGGAAGAGGAGAAGAATAGGTTTTATGATGTTTCTGACGAGATTGGGCAAGCGGGGTTGGATGAGTTTGTGGTGTTGTTGGGTGATTTGAATGGTCATGTGGGGGCGGATGCAGACGGTTATGAAGGTGTACATGGGGGATGGGAATATGGTATAAGGAATGAGGAAGGGCGTAGAGTGTTGGAGTTGGCGGATGCACATAGCATGGTGGTGGGGAAAACCTGGTTTACAAGGTAACCAGCACGATTAATTACATATAGGTCAGTAAAGCATAGGTCAATGATAGATTATACATTGGTAAGGGCGAAGCATAGAAAGTATGTAAGGAATGTGAAGGCGATACCTGGTATGTTACAGCATAGTATGGTTGTGATGGATGTGGCTTCGAAAGAAATTGGGAGGAGGAAGAAGGATAAGTTTGTGGCAAAGAGAAAGACATGAAAGTTACAGGATGCAAAGGTGAGGAAGGCATTTGAAGTGAAGGTGGCTGAAAGTTGGGAGAGTGGTAAGGATGGAGATGTTTGGGAAAGATATAGGGACTGTGTGTTGACTACGGCAGATAAAGTATTTGGATGGACGAAAGGAAAGTGTAGGCATGGTGAGACGTGGTAGTGGGATGAAGATATAAAAAAGGTTTTGGAGGTCAAGAAGAGAGTTTTAGGGTGTGGAGAAGGGACATGACGGGGGAAGCGGAGTTTGAGTATAGGAAGGCTAAGAAAATTGCAAAACGGGCAGTGGCAACTGCAATGACGAAAGCATCAGAGGGAAATGGAATTTGATGTGAATTCGAGGAAAATGTTCAAAGTAGCAAAGCAGTCAATGAGGGATAGGATGTGTTTGGGATGGATCTGGCAAGTTGTGCATAGATGAGGAGGAAAAAGCTCAGGTGTGGAAAACCCATATGGAAAGGTTTATGAATGAAGAGAATGAGTGAGATGGAGATGTGGAATCCGCGGTCACACACGGACCCATAGAAAAAGTGACGATGAGAAATGAAACTAGGTAAGGCGACAAGGGTTTTGGAAGTGGCGGCGGAACATATAAAGGCGAGTGGAGCGATAGGAATTGAAGTTATGATGGGAATTGCTAACAGTATGTTTGATGATGAAGGTATACATGAGAATTGGCGACACAGTGTGTTGGTGCCGTTGTATAAGAGCAAAGGAGATGGGAGAGATTGTGGGTCATATAGGGGTGTGAAATTGCTAAAGCATGGAATGAAGGTAGTGGAGGGTGCTTGGGAGGAGGTTGAGAAATATGGTGACAGTTAATGAAATGCAGTGTGGGTTTATGCCTGGTTGGGGAACGGTGGATGCATTGTTCATAGTGAGAATGTTGCAGGAGAATTATAGAAAGAAGAAACGAAGATTGTACATGTGTTTTGTGGATCTAGAAAAGGCTTTTGATCGAGTACCGAGGAAGGTCATTGAATGGGCGTTGAGGAAGAAAGGAGTGAATGAGAGACTTGTTAAAGCTGTGATGCAGCTGTATGAAGGAGCGAAGATGTCAGAAATGGGTGCATAAGGAGATGAAGTGGTGTGAGGGGGGCACTGAAAAAGGTGGAAGGCACGTTCAAATGTAAGAAGTGTGTTCATGGTGTGATTAATAGGACGGACTCAAGGACGGGGTTGAGTGGTGGTATTGAAAGAGTGGAAAGCTTTGTTTATTTAGGGATTAAGCTGAAAGCGGATGGAGGATGTTTGAGCGCTGTTACGGCTAAAGTTCGTGTGGGATGGATGAAATTTGGGATCTGGGTGGGGTATTGTGTGGAAAGAAATGTCAGTGAAGATGAAAGGGAGAGTATAAAAAGCATGTGTGAAAGCAGCGATGGTATATGGGGGTGAAACTTGGGTGTTGAGGAGAGAGGGGAAAAGTGTACTGCAGAGGGCTGAAAGAGATGTGTGGGGTTAAAGTGAAGGATAGGAGGAGTAGTACAGAGCTGATGTCGATGATGGGACTGAATGAGGACATTGTGACATTGATAAGGAGATCGAGATTGCGGTGGTATAGAGATGTGTTGAGAAGAGATGAAAGGGTAGGGATTATGCGAGCGTTGGAGTTCGAGGTTGAAGGAGTGATAGGAAGGGGTTGTCCGCGATTGGGAGGGAAAGAGCAGGTGGAGAAGGACAGAGTGAAAGCGGGGTTGCGTGATACTGAGACAAGTGACATATGTGAATGGCGTTGAGGGGTATTTTGGTTTCATCATAGGTAGCCAAACGGCAACCCCCGATCTCGGGGAAAATGTCGTCTAAACGTGTGTTGTTGCCAGACGTTATTTGAAGTTAACCGAAAAAAAATTGCATAACCATAGCAAACATCATTTTGAAATCCCTCTTGTAACAATGCAATGACAATACAAAGAACGTAGAGTTAACTAACTTGATAGATTCTCCATTGAATGATCATTGCTTTCTGAATCACTTGAAACGAACATATTTATAATTAATAAATTAATTTCTATAAAATAACAACAAAACTAGAACAAAAATGAGTAATTATATTTAATAGTGGGTATGAAAATAAACAGTTGCAACCGTTTAAATCTGCTTACTTACAAATAAAATCAAATAAGTTAAAGAGCGACTGGCCCACCTTTCACTTAACAATTCTTTTAACCAGAAGTTTTGTTCAGCATCAGCTTCTAATGAACATGTGTTTCCTAGGATGAGTTAATATATTTACCTTGCATACAACACCCACGTCTACAGTTTTCAATAAATTTAAATAAAAGAAACTCAAATCAATATAAAACCGAATAAACTAAATAAAGTTGAGATGTTGGGACAATAATATCGACGTTAATAAAGAGCAAATAACAGAAAAACCAATCGAACTGTTGATCACAGTGCTTCTGGCATCTCGAGATTTACTCTGGCTTATCAAGTTTTCAGATGAAATTTCATTTTCGTTGTTTCCAGACTCAGAGACCTTAATGAGTTTAATTATTTGTTCTTTCTAAAAACTTCGAACCACAACTGAAACGAAATATTTTGTAAACGACAAATAACAAATTCAAGCAAGAAAAACTGATGGTAACGTAAATTATAAAATATTCAAATCATTTTCTGTACATCCTTTACATTACCATGTAAATATGCAATACCATTTTCCACCGTCTCGTTCCACCACCAAGTTTCGCGGTTGTGCTGGCGTTTAAGTCCAGATTTTCCACATACAGCTGTTGCAGCGTTCACTAGGGTGTCTTGAAAAGATTTCCAGGTTATGTCTACCTGTGCCGATACCAACTCCTCGAATTTCTACCTGAACATGGAGTTCTTCAGTTTCCATGTCTTTATTCTAGTAGGCATTCGATCAGTCACAGAGCGTGATCGTTCATTTAGTGCCAGCGATTCCCGTATAAAGATTTCCACTTCATTTTGGGCTGTCTTTTGGCCATTCAGGAACAACTTGTAGCACCAAATGAGAAAGACACCATTTGATTTCCATCTTCTTTCCTATAGAGAACAGATGTCAACCCTTCGCCTTTCCAGTATATCGACGATCTCCATGGAGCGTCTATAAGCAATCCAGTATTTAAAGTGCCAAGTCTGATATTCTATGAAGGGACGCCCGATTTTCGGCAACATCCCTCCACTGCTACGTACTTCCTGGATATTGTCACCCCTTGACCATTTAAGGTCTTCCAGGGAATAGGGGATCTTTCCTTTTTTTGTGATGACATGGAAGATGTTTGAGTCAAAAATTTTTTTATCTGGAATTGCCCAATTCCTAACGACAAACACCAGTTATGAGCAGTGAGCCTAGCCTTTTTGCTGGAAGCACCCAAGGCAGCGTGGTTGCAGTTTATCTTGTGCCCAAGAGAGCACTGTTGTAAGCATTGCACTTAGCCTTTGGGTCAAAGGTTCCTGTTCCACAAGGCAGTGGGCTTAGAATAGAAGATCATCCGCTGTTGGAACCGTTGTCCTAGGATCCTCCGCTTCTTTCTTCTATTACAGTTGGTTCGCGGCATCTTATTCTGTATTATTCGATGCAATCCTAGAAGGTCTCCCTGCCCAGGACTTTCCCCTACCACTACCTGTGGACGCGCCTCATAGCCAGTGCACCCCAACATGAGGATATACAGAAAAAAAATGATGATACGGTTACCGAAATCGAAACTGTTACTTCATTTCAGTATTTGAGAGATGTGCTGGATTGTACTGGAAGAGCTGATGCCGCCGTTCGTGGAAAAATACGTGTGGCTAGGGGCAGATTACACCTCCTTGCCACGGTACTGATGCGGCGTAGCAATCCTCTACCGCTGCGCTCAGAGCTATACAACACAGCTATACGTTCTGTTCTGATGTGTGGTGCAGAGACGTGGCCGATGACAACAAAACTCGAACAGCAGCTTCATAATTCGTTGGATGCAGACTGTTGACCTAAGGGACCACATCCATACAACCGGAATCCTGAACCGATCAGGACTGTGCACTTTGAAGGATGCATGTCGTCGTCATCGCCTACGATAGTTTGGCCATATGAAACGAAGCGAAAACGTCAACAATAGTTTCCGTTACTGAGCACCAGGTGCCTGGCACCTGCCCAAGAGGTCGCCCAAAGAAGTCCTGGACGCAGACCATACAGGAGAATTTGAAGGCACTTGGTCTCAAGGAGAAAGCGCAATGGATAGATCGGCTTGGAAACAGAAGCTGATGAATGGAATAAAAAAGTCCGACTCATAACGGATGGAGACTATAAACGAGGATTGATTGATTTTCTGTACGTCCTAACTATTGGGCTAGTCAAAAATAATGTGGTAACTTGGTTCTTATTAATTATATTTAATCAAAATTAAAACCATTGCAATCTACGCTCATTTAAAGACAATAAATATGTTCAGTGATGCCAGTAGCGTAGAATTAACGGTTTTGGAAGCGCTTTCGTGACGACTTCGACTGTGAAGCACTGCTGTTACAAAAAGCTGCTAAGGTTTCGGCGCGTTACGTGTGGTATATTTAGCGTTTTCTTTCGTGGATAAGGATAGGTCTCTTCCAGTTAGCTAACACAGAATGCAGCTGACTTAAATTTTGATGCATTTCATCAATTTGTTGGTAGTACCTTTTTTCAATTAATTGTTTGACCAGGTTTTACAAAATATGATGAATCAATCCGGTTTGTAGACCACCGAACAGTCACCATAAGTTTCCTCTGGTACAACTTCGGTTTTGAGTGTTTGGGCTCCCATCTTGGTCCAGAACTGAATGTCGTCTGTTGTCATATAAGATCCATTTTTTATCAGATGTCACAATCCGCTCAAGAAACGGATCGTTTTAAATGCGCAAAAAAGTTTATCTGACCCCGCTGTTCTGTGGCACGCTCAAAATCACTAACACCCCGATGGTTGCATCTGACCCCGCTGTCCAGTGTCATGCTCAAAAGCACCAACACCCCAATGGTTGCCTCTGACCTAGCTGTCTTGTGGCACGCTCAAAAGCACCGACATCCCGATGGCTGCATCTGACCCCGCTGTCCTGTTGCACGCTCAAATGCACCAACATCCCGATGGTTGCACAATATCACGTGTTACATCAACCGCGTTTTGCCCATGTAAAACCGACATCATTTTGCACTGACTAAATAAATCCAAATCTTACAAAGATTTATTGTTAAAAGTTATTACAGAAACTTTTTTATTTCGACCGTTCGTGCTGTAATTTATCGATGGAGAGTTGCGCTTCACTAGCTTAATTATAATTTCATTTTGAAAACTCATGAAGCAAAATACTTTAAAACCCATGCATTGACAGCATTTTTACATCTCGCTAAAAAACAAACAGTGAAATTTTTCACCAAATATTTAATGTAAACTAAATAATGGAATAAATATACATATAATTATCAATATATCCAATGAAATTAATTTAAAAACTATGTCGACAAATTAAGTTTTGTAAAACCGACATCATTTCACACTAACTAAATAAATCCAAATCTTACAAAGATTTATTGTTAAAAGTTATTACAGAATTTTTTTTATTTCGACCGTTCGTGCTGTAATTTATCGATGGAGAGTTGCGCTTCACCAGCTTAATTATAATTTCATTTTTCATCATCCATTAAATCAAGATGATGTAACAACGATTGACGCACATATAAAATGTGAATTAAATAGGAATCTTTATCACTGGCTGCCGAGTTACTCAGTCGGTATAAACATTACGTCTCGCGCTGCTGTTACGCGATGGCCCGGTTCGAAAACTGCCCAAAACTCAAAAATGATATGCGTGTGATGTGGCGGATGCTTGCACGTGCATACAAAATGTGCACGTGCGTCGTGTGGACACTGTATGTGTAGAGGGGGCACGAAGGTTTAGTTATAGGTATAGAGTAAAATAACGTGTAAGCAGCCCTGTGTTTGACACAGCTGCCTTATAAAGAATAACAACAAAAAATCATCATCCATCAAGAAAATGCAATGCAACGTCGCATGCTTATATAATGAAAGATGTCGACTCCTTCATTTCAAAAATAAAAACATATTTTTTCTTCAGGGATCTATTCTTTAACAAATTAGTGATGCCTTCTCTAACCATCCATGTTTTTTTTTATTCGAACAGATGGTTTAAAATTTAAGTAATTCATTATAAAAAATACAAAAACATTCCTGAAAACTAAAAACTGTGAAAAAACTTTTATCAAAAATGAAGGGAGGCAGTGGTTAGAAAGTAAATCAAAAAACCTCTAATTTAAAACTCGAAACGAGGCTGGTCATGTTCAGGAGAAATATTCTTCCACCTAGCAGGCCACCCTATCAGTCCTTCTAATGTACATCCTACAACTCTGCAGTCAAGCAAAAAAACTCCTTGAAAGACATCTCACCACTATGCAGCCAACTGCTTCATAGACACAAATAAAACTTTTGTATCTACGAGATACAACAAAAACCATTGTAACTGAATTTTTTAAACTCAACTTTAACATGCGTCAAGCAGCGGTGTAAATTTAACCTTCATAAACAAATAATTATGGATGCGAACCTCGTAAATTGTGGAAACTTACAAAACTGTAGATACTAATTAAGTAAAAATTATAATCCAACATCTTACACATCGCTTGAGTATAGAGAGTGCCACGACGTTGGGACTGCCACAAGGACCAGGCGTATTTTTTTGGTAATATCTTCTCCTTACCGTTCCATGCCAATGATTTTTTATTGAATTATCAGTTCTGTTGGAATATTAAAAACCCGAGTGTAAATTAAACAGTCTTAGATCAACACTGAAAGTATGCTAAAACGAAAACTTGAATATATTTTTTAAATATTTCTTCAACAAACCTGCCATTGAAGTATTTGGCTATTTTGGCCCATTTATTTCCATGAATTTTATGCATTTCATAGAGGAGCAGATCCTCATCCTTCGACCAGGCCGCCTTGTTCACCTCGGGGTTCAAGTGGTTGTGCCATCTATCCAATTGTCAAAAACAATAATAATAAATAATAATAATAAATAATAATAATGTGACGACATGAATGTAATTGAAATATCTCAAGATATGCATGATAGATTCAGTTCAAGTAAAATATTATATCTAATTTCAAATCCAATATATTCGTTTTTCTTCTATACTCTCTACTAAAACGTAACAGCTAAAGGGCATAATTCGATATGAATTCATTATGTTTTAAAACTGACGTGCATGTACTGGCATGTTTACCACTGCAAAATAACTCTTGTTATTTCTTGTTGTTCTTTCCGTAAATTTCAATCTTTTATGAAAATACGACATTTCGTTATCAATATAGCACAAAATACCTGCTATTTAAAAAAACTACCAAAGTTTCTGAGAAAAAGGTGATTTGTTAGTACAAATAAAGTGTTAGTGTCAAAAACATATTAAGTTTTTAGTGTTTCCATTATCAGCAAATGTCATGTTTATTATAAACTATTAACAACGCGAATAATAATTAGCATAGTATAAACTTTTTAAAATGTTATTTTTATCAGAAACAAGCTTAATGATTCGTCAAGTAAAGTCATTTATACACTAAATTCAAGCTTCCATTGAACAAATACACTTTAAATAGACTCTCATTGTTATCATAATTTTATTATTATTTCTTTATTGCTTTTTATTTATTTTTATTTATTTATTTATCAAAACTGACCAGAGGGCCACAACGGACCACTTACCCAATCAAGAAGAAAAAAAGAAATGTTATAAACTAGGCAATTGGCAGACAGATAAAAAAGTCAAAACAAAAAAAAAACAAAAAAAGAAAACATTAAACAGAAAGTTGCATAGTTATTCCCAACATTGTCATTAATACATAGATCGAAAAATAAGTAATTTTTAAAACGTTCAAACCCGTGCACCCACTATGCCGTATTTCTGATAGATCCTCCTAGAATAATTTACTGCCTACTAAATGGGAAACAGCTATTGCTATTTCGATCCACTAGAAAGGCCTAACCATTTAAGCTGATAACTTCAGACTTGTATCACTCACATGTTTACATATAAATAATGGTAACATCATGTTTACATCATTAGGTATGTTCTCACTCTATTTGTTAAAAGACATCTTTATTTTGCATTTCTAACCAGTCTGCTAGATCGACTTATATCAACTTTCAACAATTTCCAAATAATCGGCTATTAATTTGTCAAGAGAAGGTACAGTCTATCCAGATCTCCAAAAAGCTTCAGCTACGTTCATCCAAATTGGTTAATAAACTAAAAGCTTGTAGAACATAAGAAAATCTGTTTCAATGGTTGAGTTAATTTCGGTATATGGACGTTCACAGCTTGTTCGGATTCAAAAAAGACAATTAACTTCTATAGCAATATCCAGTGGTATTCACCCTGCATTAAGACTGCATCTCATCATGACTTGTTCGATGTTACTCTCTGCTGACGATCTCCAGATTTTTTGAAGCTCATCTGATTATATTCAACTTCAACGGGAATAACTGTGTGAAGCAATAAAGCAGATGCCGCTTTCTTCAAACAAATGCTCTCATCTATTTCTTATCCTAAAATACTACACTATTTTATTGTTCGTCACTTTTTAACATGTATAAGCTATGCAGTTGAGTAAACTGTTGAAAATGAAAAATTATAGTAGGACTACAGAAAAATTGAAGTGATCTACTAGTTGTTGAGAACTGATTCGGTCACGATGATTTTTATTATTCCATTTTTATGGTTGATCGTATTTCCTTTGTTCGATGATTTCATTCATTGTGGTCAAAATATCTATTTACAAAAACCTGTCAAACAAATTCAAATCTGTAAATAAAACCTTCCAAGATTGTGTATCAATTTTTCAATATAAGACAAGATTTAAATTAATACGACATGAGCAAGATTAGAGCCACTATTAATTCCAAACCAATCCGGTTGCCTATTCGCTAGTCTCAGTCAGTACAAAGTTTAAACCAGATTCATCATCATTTTCGTATTTATATTTGACAAGTGTGACTCTGTTCACAAAATAAAATTACTAGTTTAAGCAGATTTTTCATGTAAAAGGTAGATGAATACGTCATCCTGAAGTTTAATTTTTTGTATTCATCACTTCTTGATGACATAACAAAAGCTTAATTAAAGGAACATTTTCTATTGTGAAATTTTCGTTGAATCTCTCCTTGGAACTTCTTCTCAAGCTCACTCTTTAATTCAATGCAATTCCAATCCGATGAACACTTACTCCTCCCCAGTTGCTGCACTTACTATCAAACATTTTCAAAACTATCCTAACGAGATTGATTGAGGCAGAAATCATTTACGTTTTCAGTCCATTTACAGGACTGTATTTTTCAGCTCATGTAATCAAAATATTTTTTTAAACACTAGTAGTTAGCAAAATTAATCATGAACAGTTGTCAATCAAAAGAGTTATCAAATAAAATTCTTCTAAAAAATGAAAAAAAGACAATAAGAAATAATAAGTGATAAAATTGCTTCTATATAATTGAACACAAAATTAATTTGATAATTCATTTTTGTTGGCGAACAAAAATAATTAAGATTACAAAACGTCTTAAAAGTCAAAACAAATTAACAGCACACAACTTGAACTCAAGATTTCATAGAATGAGACATTAGGGTAAGGGAAAGACATTAATGAGCCAACAGCTATGTGACGTAACTTTGTTTTTGCTAATGACCAATAAAATAAAACAATTTTTGAGTGGCACTGGAACACTTGTACAGATAACAGGTTCAAATGTGCAACAGCAATGTCTAGCCTAAAGGCAATTTATCAATATCAGAATCCAACACAAAAGTCTAGTTCGACGTCATAATTAAAAAACATAAACTTTAAAAATTTAGCCTGAACAGAAAACAATGTTAGAAGAACAAGTGAACCTCTCCCTGCATTGTTTACCAGTTCGCCCTTTTAGGTATGTGGCGATGTACGACCATTTCTTCCTTCCAAATTCCTCAACTAATTCCGTTAATTTGTCGTCTTCCTGTTGTGAAAGTATTAGAAAAAAATGTGTTGTAAACAACATTCGATTTTGAGCAATCATAACAAAGAAAAATTCAAGAAAATAAAACGATTAAAAAAGCCATGTAATTAAATGAAGAGTAATGGCATTGCAGTGCACAATTTTGAACGTTACACGGCAATAATAATTTTGTTTGATAACTTCAGTACAATGGCAACCTGATTAGATTTTTTAAAATTAGGCAATCAGGTATAACAAAGCTAAAAAAATGCAAAAATAAAGTTTATTTTAGAAATTAATTATAGCAAAACACAGTAGAAGCAAAATAATAAAATTAATCAATGTTAGTATCTTGCAGCACACAGATTGATGCATCATTTGTGTTATTAATGATTGTGATGAGCATAAATTAGATAAAATGGGGACTACAAAATAACGACCAATCTAGTCCACGGCCCCTTGATTAGATCAGGATCTAAATACGTCTCCCATCTTTTTTTGCACTGCAGTTCAGTTTTTCCCTCCATCAATCTTGAAATTGATAGCCATGAGTCAGTACCATTATGTTCAACTAACATTCTCAACATATCATCCTGACAGTTATAGAACAATTATAATAGTCACTTGTAGAGTTATAGAACTAAATATGCACAATAATTTCAATTGCAACAATTTCAGCAGTCACTATTGAAATAATTACAAATGTTAAACATACTTCATCTTTTTTCCAAGAGTTAAGTTTGAATAAATTGGAATCGTTTTCTCCATTGAACACTTCATAAACATCTTGGCCATCATCAATGTGCATTATACATCTGGTGATAAAAATGTAATTTATTTGTTACCAATCTCTTTTCTTTATTTTCCAGAGGTATCAGCAACAAACACACAGTGCATGAAAATACACGTAAAACAACGCACCACACACATCACATGTGATATGCAGAGATCTTGCAATCAAAAGCCAGCCTCTGCTACAGTGCCAGGCACCATACCGATACACCATTGCAGATCACCTACCCTGTCTGACTCAAAAATCTTGTTATTTTCTAATAAAACTCACTATCCATCTAAACTCATATAAGCCGGTCTATTATGACATGTCTAAGGTCAAGCATGAAGATAAATCTTACGAATCCAAACTGAGTTTAGTAGAACCTCAAGAGCAGATATCTACTAGACAGATGCAAAATGTCTCCAGTCACTCTAGGTCAATTTCAAAACAAATCTTCAGATGTGAGACATCTATGATGCATATAACCATTTCAAGGAAACAGATGAGGAATCCATCTGGTGTTTGTTCACAGTGACTCATGCTGCCAGTATGCAAAACCAGAAGAGTAGATTCTCAAAATATGGAGCCACAGTTAGATTTCAAAACTTTCAAAAGTGAAATAAATTTTTTTAAAAAGGAAAATCTGCTGCATGCGAGGAGTAAAATATTAAAATTAAGAAATCGGATTAGAAAAGATGAGATAGAAGCAGGTTAAACAACAAGTCAGGTACATTATGATTGGTAAGCAAGAAAAGGTAGCATTTGCATGAGATGTTCTTATTAGTGGCTGCTAATTACAAGTTTAGGTTAGGCACCAACTAGTGGATAGTGCAAGGAAAAAAATGGCAGACTTCAAGAATTAAAAAAAAGTAATATAATAGCAGATGAAAAGAAAATTGAAGATATACTTGAAAGCAAAAAATAAACCAAAACATATACAAACAAGTTGAAAAAAACCAAGGCTACATTTTAGTTTTTAATTACAGCAATGGTGATATTTGAAACAAGTACACGCCAATGAGGACACTACAAAGCTTAAAAAGTAAATTGTATACAGTTTGTTATCAAAAATTAAATATATAAATGATTAAAACATTTTAAAAAATTACGAAATTTTGTGTAAAAAGAAGTAAAAACTTGTAAAAAATGGAGTGCATTATACATCGTCATTTGAGATTCATTGATATTAATTATTACAATTTTTTATTTAGTTGACTTTTTACACACAATTATAAAAGAGACACCACAATTTAACCACTACAAGTTGCATAATTGTATAAATTTAACTTATCACTAATTTTAATTTAGATTGCAGCAAAATTCATCAGAACTACTTGAAATAAAATCAAATCTTTGACTTCATCACCATAATTTAAAAAAAAATGGTTCAGGAAAAAAACAAACAATCACTGGATTGACTTGATACTTTCACTAAAATACTTAGTCGTTAGGATGGAGCTTATTTTTCTAAGTTTTGAAATATCACCTTCTTACCCCGTAATTTTTTTTGTCCACATGAAGAAAAAATTCAGACAAAATGACAGCTTCATTTATTGATATTTACTGGTAGCTCAAATGCACTGAAGTTTTTAAGGCTTTTGCATATAGAACTGTAGTAGACGTATGTACTACAATTCAGTATTTTGTAACCGGCTGAACACTGATCACATAACTAAATCACATATTTATTATTACATGCTAAATAAAGCTTGCTACATCAGCAATGAAGCATAATGGAGACAAATGAGAGATGATTTTATTGTTAGAAAGCATTAGCCCAGACTTATTTAAATGCTGACATCATCAGCTGAGTCATGCAGCCCTTTCTTATGTGCATGCCTGTCTTGCTGCTGATATCATCATTAATTTCTAGTCTTGCCCATGTGTTGAGACAGTGTGCTAACATCACTTTTGCTCATATAAATTAGTGCTGTGTGCTGGACAGATCATTTGGTTGATTGACATTGTTATTTACTATATAATAGTATTGATTTGATAACTAACGTCAAGTTGTAAAATATGTGGCAGAAGCAACAAGATCTCAAACAGAAGTTTAACTTCTGGGATGTACTGTGGCTGAATGAACTGGCAGCAAGCTTCCATCACTGAGCATGGCCTTGGCTATTTTCTACTTTATCACCTGAAACTGCATGAGCTATCAGACAGTCATCAACTGCTACAGTAGAAGAGATAGCAAAATTTTGGCACAAAGCATGAATACCAATAAAAGATATACAAAACTGTCACACTAAATAAAAAAAAAGCATTTGCTTAAGAAAAATAAAGGCCGGCAATCTCAGACGCAACAGTCACGAGGTTGAATTTGTTTCCCGATTAGATGATCTTTTTGATAGATCATACCAATGCTCTTGATATGATTTCAGTTGCTGAAGACAGGGAATTTCTGCTGGCTCAGTGAGAAAATGGAAAAGGGGGATCAATGGCTGATACAGACACAAAGTTGGCTGCAAAAGAGGTGAACTGTAGCTGAACAAGAACAATTGCTTGTCAGACAACACAGAATGAACAACTTGCAAAGAAAGCAAAATGAAAAAGTGGCATTATAACCAAAGATGAGTCTCAGCTTCAGTTTCCATTGCAGACAGTTGAACAGCACAGCAAAAAACACACACTGTGGCTAAGTATGTCATCTGTCAGTAGTGTAAAAAGCACTAACTTTACCAACTTTCTGCTTTCAACGGTTGTATATTCAAGAACAGGCTTCTGCTTGATTGTATTTGAAGACAATATTTGAGATTCAAAGTTAAAAGGCTGTTACATAGATGTATCCTAAAAATATTTTACATTTGCTATTTTTTATCATCTTTGATGACATTGGGTTACCTCTAAATATAACACTAAGAGACTCAAACTTCTTTTTAATATTTTTTGATGAGGAGAGAAAGATCTGAGGGTAAGACCAATGAAAATCACAAATTTTATTTTTTGGGCTGTTTAAGCTACATCCTATTAATCATGCAAACAATTCAGTTTCAATTTCAATTGATTGATTGATTGATTTTTATTACAATATAAAAATATAATGATTTAAAAAAAGGAAGAACGCCTTTCTTTAAAATTTGTGTTACATAGATTAGCAGCATCAGATTAGATCTAAAAAATCTATAATAGTTTAATCCTAATATTCTTCTAATAATCTATATAAAATGAAAATTTCTTTATTTTGTGATAAAATAAAAACTACAACAAACGGAAAAACTGATCAACCATTTCTAACAACTTGGATTTCCTGATTTTGATTTGATTTTTAGATTTAGTTAGTTTCAATCAAATCAATCAATAATTTCCTCAACGTTCAATAGCACTTCTCAATGAATTTTAGAAACAAACGGGTTTTGGGATCCACTCTGAACTTTGTAAGTGATAGAGAAGTAGTTAGAGGAGGAGGCAGAGAGTTCCAGAGAAAAAAAGAAAAGAACCAGATAAAGCAAACTCAAATTTAGCATAAAAGTGTTTAACAGAAGTTTAGATTTGAGAAAGAGAAGACAATCATAAACCGGAGTGTTTAGGTTTAATTAATATATCTGATGAGTACTTCAGAAATAATTTAGATTGAAACTTTAATGTGCAAATTTAAAAAAACATTTTTTATTTTATAGTCAGTGCATGAGAACAAAATATAGAGATATACGAGTAAAGATCGGAGTACAAGCAACCACCACAACAAGCAGCAGAGTTAAAAGCTTTACTTAGAAGAAGGAAGACCATAGTAGAGCGATAAAATCCAAGATAAAACTAAAAAAGTAACAAGAAGAGAAGAATCATCAAAAGAAGCAAAAGTTTTTTTATTCTACGTAGATGAGAGTAAGAACTTTTAGCAATACCATTAATCTGAGAAAAAAAGAGACACGCTTGAATAAAAGGCCCAGACTACGAAACTTATGAGAAACATAAAGAATTTTAGAATCAGGTAAGATAATAGAAGAAATAGTGATAGTGTTTTGATTTATTAAACACAATTAATTAAAAACTTAGGACTAAGTTTAAGATACATAGAGTCACACCACGCAATAAAAGCAAAATTGACTAGTAAAAGAAAAAGTTTTAATGGTATGTGGTAATTTAGAGTTATAGAGTATAAATAAAAAAGGGGCTAAGAATAAATCCTTGAGGTACTCCAAAAGTAAAAGAAGAGTTGAAAGTAATATTATAAAGAACAACAGAAGAACAATTATAGAGATAAAAAAACCTACCAGTAACATTAAAAGAATGATCTGGCAGTCTCAAGTGAAGAGTATGATCATCAGTATCAAAAGCAAGCAAGAACAAGTGTAATATTACTATTGTCACTAGAGAAAAGGACATCGTTGTTAATGTTTAAAAATTTAAAAGTCATTCTCTGATTTGCATTCACATTACATATCTCTTTTAATTGAACACAATCACTGCAACAGCAGGATCAGGCTCCTTTAACCATTGAGTCATCACATTGCTCATGTTTCAGTACTATGAGCAGGTCTGAAACCAGAACGAGATTCAGGCAGCAAGGAGTTAGTTCAAATAAAAAGATTGTTTGTTTAGTTTAGTTGTAACTACTAAGTTGTAATCTATTGTAATATATCAAAAAATAATATCAAATTAATAACAATAATAATGCAACACTATTTTAATACATTTATTTATTATTATTTAAATTTAAATTTAATTGAAATTTAAAATCAAATAAATTTAAAATTTACTACAATAATTAATAAAATAAATAAAACAATATTCATAGTAAACTAGAAACATTAATTATAAATATAGTTTAAAATAAAAAATGTAAAAAAGAACTTATCGTAATCAATTAAATATTATCTATCTCTCTATCTATTGTGTCTATTCTATGGGCATGCAGGTAAATCTAATATGTAACGTAAAAAAAAAGAAAGAAGCATTTAAAATTTTAAATTCAACTTTAAATTCAATAACTAATAAAAGTCGAGGCTTCAATTTTTAAATAAATAAATTAATTAGTTAAATAGCACTAACAAAAATTGGCACAAGGCAAGAGTGGGACTTTTGATTTTGAACGAAACGACGATCGAAAATTACGATAGTAACGTTCCGTAACGTTTTTGTTTATTATGAAATTCATATATGGGATGTACAAAAAACTAAAAATACAATATAGCTAAAATATTAATTTTTTAACGCTGCACTTTTTAATAGTTCTCATGGTACGCAAAACCTAAAAATTAATTGTTAAATTTTTATTTAATAGACTAGTGCTAATAATAGTAACAATGAACAAACGTAGCAAAATTGCTTTAGGCTGCTTTTTGACGGTTCGTGTGGTAAAAAACAGTCTATGGATAACGAAGAGATTAGTCCCAGTCGTCCTAATTTTTTTAGAGTAATTCAAAAATATAACTCATGATGTTCATAAAATAACAAGTTATTGACAACTACTAAGTTGTACCTTGTAGCCTTAATTAAAAACTTTTCATTTTTTATTTTGTTCTAGCTTCTACATGAAAAAAGATTATACTAGAATTTCTATCAAAATCGTGTTCTTAAGACTGTGAGCCTACAAGAACTTTAAAAGAATTGTCGACTTGTTTCTACCATTTTTTCCAATTTTCATCAACTTGTGAGCTCGAGTTCACTTTCATCTGCACTAAAAAATGCTGTCATCATTCCAATATTAATGACAAAATTACAGGCCTGTATCCAACCTTTAATAAATCAATCAATCAATTAGTTTATAAAGCGCTATTTCCGCGATGTTCGACAGCGCTCCTCAATGAATTTTGCAGAACAGATGGGTCCTGAGATCCGCTCTGAACTTCGTAAGTGATGGAGAAGTAGTCAGAGAAGTAGGTAGAGATTTCCAGAGAAAAGGGCCAGAAAAAGCAAAAGCAGATTTAGCAAAAGAGTGTTTAACACGAGTTAAGAAGAAGTGGGAACAAGAAGACGATCGTAAACCGGGGCGTTTAGGTTCAATTAATATATCTGATAGTTATTTATGGAATAATTTAGATTGAGGCTTATACATAAATGTGCAAATTTTAAAAATTATTCTATATTTTATAGGTAGCCAGTGCAAGAGAAAGATATGAAGATATATGAAAAAAGAAAGGGGAACGAGCAACTAGACGAGCAGCAGAGCAGCAGAGTTAAAAGCTTTACTAGTGGATAGAGTGTAGAATCAGGAAGACCATAGTAAAGCGAGTTACTATAATCAATTCTAGATAAGACTAACGAAGTAACAAGATGAAGTAGAGTAGGGTCGTCAAGAAAAGGCAAAAGTTTTTTTATTCTACGTAGATGAAAGTGAGAACTTCTAACAACACTATTAATCTGAGAAGAAAGAGACATACTAGATTCAAAAATTAAGCCTAGACTACGAAACTTGCGAGAAACATCAAGAGTTTTAGAATCAGGTAAGATAATAGGAGGAATAGTAATTGAGTGTTTAGATTTATAAAAACCAATTAATATAAATTTAAAAGGATTAAATTTAAGACACATCGAGTCAGACCAAGCGATAATTGAAGAAACAAATTAATTCAAATTTAGAAGGATTAAGTTTAAGACACATAAAGTCAGACCAAGCGATATTTGAAGAAAGACATAAAGATAGATTATAAAGAACACTATTGTGATTAGATGAAAGAAAAAATGTATAAATATAAGAATCATCAGCATATAGTTGACAAGTGAAAGAAAAATTATTAATAATACGAGGTAGTTCATAAATAGAAGAAAGCCAAGGATAGAACCCTGAGGTACTTTGAAAGTAAGAGTAGAGGAGTTAAAAGTAGAATTATTGAAAACAACAGAGGAAAAACGATTGCAGAGGTAAGAAGAAAACCAAGATAGACAAGAGAATAGTATGATCAACAGTATCAAAAGCAGAGAAAAGTCAAGAGCAAGAAAAAAAGTAAGATTACTAAATTGTCACTAGAGAAAAGGATATCGCTATGTTTTTGAAAAAAAATATAGAAAGAGTCATTTAAACATAAGCGTCTCAAATCTTAAAATTTTCTCCTAGTTTTTTGAATATCGTGGGAATAGCCAAATCCTTTTCATCCTTCTAATACCAGCTTTCTGGAAACTCTTCTAAAAAATGTCAGCTACAGATAATAATGATAGTAACAGCTAAATAATACGGATTTTCTAAAAATTCTAAAGTACAGCTATCGTTTGCTTCTGAAGTATTTTTTCAAATTTTCTAAATGAAAACCCAGTAATTGAAAGACTCTTTAACAAAGATTTAAATCTGTGATTTAGTTCAATTTTTAAACCATAGTGAATGAATTATATAAATATTAATCTTTTTATTTGATTTTATGTCCTTCTTGACAAATAAACTGAATTTAATGACACGTTCCTTAAATTTGGTAGCTGTCGATCGCGGACGATTCACATGTACGGTCACATTATAAAAATATATAATAAAGTCCTCCAACTTGAATGAAACTCATTATACAGGAATCTCGCTAAAACTATTTATAATTACATTAGTGGTAACTTTGCTTTTGAAACATAAAAACCGTTCGATTACAAAAACATACTGCTAGTCAGTTCAAGTAAATTCTGAAAGCAAGTTGAAGGTTCGAAACTATAAGGGGCTAAGTGGAAAAATTATTCAATAGATAAATAAACAAAATTAAATATTAAGTAAATAAAAGAATAAATGGTTAAAGGCATTATCAATAAAAATTAAACAAATGATGGATGATTATTGTCTAATAAAAAATGTCTTGTGATGAAGGTTTTATCCAGATAAGTTGATTTAATAATTATGTTTATGTTGTCGTTAACGAAGTTTGCGAAAGTAATACATTTATTCCCATGGATATTATATATAAATATATATAATATATTTATATCCATGGGTATAAATAAACGATAAACTATCTGTAATGAATTGCGAGAGTTGATTCTTTTCATTGTAAATCACGAATAAATCAATATCATCTTTTCACTAAATTTTTGATCACAGTAAAATCCAATTAAAAGGATGAATTTCGAGGCACAGATAATAACAATAAAACCAAAAATGCATTTGTAATCTGTAACTGACATTTTTCTTCGGCGTGTTTTTAGATAGCTAGCACTCGAATGATGAAAGGGATTTGGCTATTTTTACGATATTCAAAAAACATTTACAAATACATTGCGCCTGCGTGTCATGCCCGCCCATGGATATATATATATATATATATATATATATATATGTATATATACATATGAAATATATATGTATATATATACATATGAGATATATATGTATATATATATATATATGAGAAGTATATTATTATTTATTATTATTATTAATAGAAAACTTAATATAGCGTTCGTTATTGCAGTTTTCACAAACGCTATCAAATAATAACTAATATTAATAACAAAATAGCAAGAATGAAAAGAGATGAACTATAATGAAAAAAGGTATGTCTTTAATTGTCTTTTAAATTCAGCAATGTTCATTCCAGGCATTCTGAAGGCTGACGGCAAGCCGTTCCATACGACAAGGCCTGACACAGCAAAATCACGCGATCCAATCTTTAGCTGTCTATGAGGAACCACAAGAATGTTCGAATCGTCAGACCTCAGACGCACACCAAATGCGATCGACGTTTTTAATTTCAGTTTATCTGATAAATATTTTGGAGCCAGACCATTTAGTGATTTGAAAACTGTGACAGAGATTTTAAAAGCATTTCTTTTATTTATGGGCAACCAATGCAAATCACTCAGGATCGGTGTGGCATGATCATACTATCGACATCCAGCCACAATCCAGGCAGTATGGTTTTGTATCGATTGCAGAATTTTGATGGATCTAGCCGGGAGTCCATAAAATAAACTATTGCAATAATCGACACGTGAGTGCACCAACACATGCGCCAGAGTCTGCATTGCGTCTTTATCAAGTGATTCTCGAATTTATTTCATTCTTCTAATCTGTGCCAAGCATGATATAGAGATCATTTTTAAATGAGATTTCATTGTTAGATTTTAATCAATTATAAAACCTAGGTTCGACACTGCTTTACAGAAATCTATTTTTTTATCATTCATAACAACTGAGTTTATATCCAAGTCTGCCAACTGCTGCCAGGTACCAATAGGAAAAAATTTTGTTTTACCCTGGTTAAGCTTCAATTCATTTCTCGACATCCACAGATTAACCTCCGCCATACATTCAATGAATCTCGTAATCTCGTCTTGAAATAACTTCGGTTTACCTGATAACATAATTTGAATGTCGTCTGTGTATATATGTATATCATACATATGTATATATATATATATGTATATATGATATATATATATGTATATATATGATATATAAATATGTATATATATATATATATATATATATATATCCATGGTCATGCCACAGCTCTAGAAATCAAAATTCAATGACAACTCTTCTCCCATCGTGAATTAACGATGTTTTTTTAGTTCAGTTTTTATGATTACATTTGTATAGATTAAACAAATATGTAATATACAGTTTTGTGTATAAAATATAAATAACATAAAAAATAAAAAAATTCTATAAAATTATGCAAATATAAATAATAAAAAAATAAATATATTAATACATTATGGAAAACCCCATCACAAAAGCGGACATTTCTTTTTGCATTAATGATTTTTGTTTGTCCCGCTCTTGGATATATGTATATTAAATCAATGGTCCCGCTCCTCGTGTTTATGTCGTGTTGTATGTTCTCATTATTGGGTGACATAAACTAATGAGACAAGTGTACTAATAACAATTACTAACTTAACTGCTCTGACATCAGCGAGGGATAAAATAGAATAGTGTATGAAAGTTTATCATTACGCATTACGGTATAAATTATAAAATTAAGCTGAAATGGCTGAGTCATGTAAAAACATGGATATCCGAAAAAAGAAAAAACGAAAGATGGAAGTCACTAAAAATGAAGAAAACGGTTTGTTCGTTTGCTACTAAAATTTTGAAAGTTGCTTCACCAGAGGTTAAATATGGAAAGGGCTCCCATTTATTTTCTAGCAAAATTTTACATTAGTCACTAATGATTGGTGCTTCATTCAATGCAAACGAAACTCTAGACAAGTAAAAGTGAGAGTAGGTTAAAGCATAAATATGTCTAAAAGTGAATTGATATTTTAAGACTGTTAAAGTGTTAATTGATACAATTATAAAAATATTTATCATTTAAACTTTAAAGGGAAATACTGAAAATAATTGTGAAAATAACAAATTAAAACATCTTTTTAAGTTAAAAATTTTAATTGTCATCAATTATTTGAAAACTTTAAAATCGTAATTTTGGTATGGAGAAAGTTTTTGTCGATTAAAGTAAACTTACATGCATAATTTTAGTACGCTTTTAATTTAAAGAGAATGTTTTTGTGTGGAAGGCTTTAAAGTAAGGTCAGAGCTATAAGGTGTGCAAATTGCATGCCATTGAAATGCTATAAGGCGTGAGAAACCTACACGGCAAATTGGACATGCTAATACTATAAAGCACGAGAGACCGCACGACGACATGGTTAGTATGATGCTATAATCATAATGCATGCGAATTAGACGTTTAAGTCGTGAGGTACCCTCACGACGAATTCAAGTTTTAGATTCTACAAGGCATGCAAATCATTCACAGGATTATTATAAGTTATTATAAATTATAAGTTGTGAGGATCACCCACGTCAAATTCAACATTTAGTGATTTCTCCATACATCACTGCAAAGTTGTAGTAACGTTTAGATACCTGCAGTACCAGATGCTTTAATAATGTCATTTATGAGTCCAGAGGGCCCTGCTGCCTTTCCATCTTTCATAGGTTTCAGAGCTTCTGTAAGCTCCTCTACAGTGATGTCTGGAATCGGACCTTCGATGGGTGGAGTGTCAAAGTTGACATTGATGGGATTTGCTTCATTTAACAGACGGTTGAAGTGTTTTTTCCACTGTAGTTTGATCTCATCTTGTTCAAGAACCATCTCATTTTTGTCATTTTTGATACATGAGGCACCAGCTATGTCTTTTTTCGTACGCTTTGCTTGTTTTGCTATACAATACAGAGATTTCATTTGTTCGCCTTTGCTTTTAGTGAGCCACTCTCTGCACTGATCTGTCCGAGCCAGTGCAACTTGACGTTTTGCATAGCTGTTCTTCTCACGGAAAATTTTATGGTCATCTACAGACTTTGATTTTTGCCGTTGCTTGTATGCAGCTATCTTTTCAGCTATTGCATTTTGTACACTGTCATTCCGCCACCAAGTGTCCCGTTCTTGCTGACGTTTTGTACCAGTTTTCCCCACAAACTGTAGTTGCAGCGTTTATCAAAACGGTTTTGTATCTACTCCAATCTGTACTGCTTGTACTTGGTGGTCTAAATGTCAACAATCTGTTGAAATTTTTCTTGATGAATATTGCTTTTCAGCTTCCACGTTTTGATTCTCCAAGGCATTTGTTTAGACTTATGTTTTGACAGTTCGAACAATCAGGTCTGCCACAAGGAGTCTATGTCTAGATTTTTTAATAATAACATGCATTATAATGTTTAAAACAACAAGATTCAATTAGAGTGTTTTATTTTTATGAAATAAAATCTTTTTCTTAATTGATAATGCTTATAACTATTTATCTTACACATTCGAAATTAACAAAGATTTTGATTGAAATTATCAAAAAAAATTTATATTTCTTAGAAATGTCTCTGGATTCGGATTCAAAAAAGATTAAATTGGAAGATAATGAAGTGAACGGTGAAAAAAATAAGGAAATTGACAAAGGTTGTTTAATTTATTAGAATTATTTATTTAATGTTTCATGTCTAATGATATATTTATTTACGTTACATTAAAAGAATAGCACACAGGTTGACTGTTATTAAGAGTTTGTTATGTCAGATGCTCAGTCAGCTTAAACAAATTTTATTATTTTGGCGTTATGTTGAGCCTAGTACACCAGTAGAGATAGTGTAATTTATTTATGAACTGTTCAACGATGAACCACAGCATAATTCAAATTTAGTTTATTCAGAAAAATAAACAAGTACGCTTGTGTGGCCACCCAACGAAGTAAATAAAAAGTATATGTAAATTTAACCCTTGGAGGGCCATGGACAAAAAAAAACTTTGTTGGCCATGTGGGGTGTCTGTGCACCCCAGAGTTAAAACATAAACAAAGATTGATTTCAGAAACATTTATTGCTTATTGCTTTTTATTCACTAAAACTTGTTACACTTAAAAACATATACTACAAAATGTCAAGAAACTACATAGAAATCGTAAAGGAAATATCATAGTACTGTATAATCGCTTAGCCATCTTCACACCAAATAATAAAACAACAATGGGTTGTTAAAATTTGGCTCAATCGCCTGTGTATTTTGTTTACTTCACAAAAATGGAAAGTATATCTATACTGCAAAATGGAGTTATGCTGTAAATGTTAGAAATAAACGTTTTATTGCGTTATAGCAGTTGATAAAAATTTTGGTTTGTGGAACCTATTTGACCATGAGGGGTGCAAGTACACCCCATTAAAATTTTTTGTTTCCATTTTATCACTAATCAGTCTATTTATCTTTACTATTACACGTTGGCATCTGAATTTTTCTTGTGATAAATTAGGAAATTAGTGGCTTTGGCGGCTGCTAGTTTCATTTCCTTATCTATTTTTTATATGTGGGGTGCACCCTGCATAGCCTTCTAAAAGTTAAAGAAGAATCTCAAGCAAATTGAAACTGAACTTTTGCCGCGCAGCGAAATTTTTCCTTTGCTCAAATATCAACAACTGCCGCCGCCAGCATAGGCAGTCTCGCTTCTGGCCGGGACTCGCCTCTTCACAACTTTTTATTTCCGGGTCGGAAAACACGGGCCGGGCGGAAGAATTATCACGCCCTGCTTGTTGCCCTTCTCCCACATTTGGTGTACTGTTTCATCCTACCTAAAAAAATAGAATAAATTAACAGTAATTAATCAACAAATCAATTTTAATTTATTTATGTGGACGACAAACGGTTTAGCTCTGTCATTTTTTTATCGCCTGGTACGCTGCCATAACGTGTAGTAAATGTTCATCCCAATCACTCTGAGATTCATTTACAACTTTGGCCAGCATTGAATTAAGCGTTTTGTGGAATCGCTCTATCGCCCCATTAGATGATGGATTGTATGGCGTTCTAAAATCACCTTGACTCCTGCTGTACATGTCACCTAAAACTTTTGAAGAAGAGGACCCACGTTGGGCGCCAATTGTGAACTTTTGCCGCGCGGCGAAATTTTTCCTTTGTTCGAATATCAACAACCGCCGCCGCCAGCATAGGCAGTCTCGCTTCTGGCCGGGACTCTCCTCTTCATAACTTTTTATTTTATTTCCGAGTCGGAAAACACGGGCCGGGCGGAAGAATTATCGCGCCCTGCTTGCTGGTCGGTTAATCCGGCCCTATTAACCGCTAGCAAGTCTTCTTCAAACATGTTTTAGTTTTTAAAACTGACAAACAAAACCTAACTGAAATAATTCTATTAATAAACAAAAACAAAACAAAGTAATATTCTTTAAATCAAATGTTTTTAAAGTCAACGACAAAGCTAAATTAAATATTTTGAATAAACGAAAATTATTTTTACCAGCCGAAATAATGAGAAATCCCAAAACAAGAAACACGACAGAGCAACCGACCGACCAATTACCAACCACAATAAACTCAAAAATTAATTCCAAACGCTAATCCAAAACACTAACTTTCCTTTCTCAACAATTGTCCAAAAGGTTTATATACTAAGCAAATTCTAAACAAACTGAGAAACATTCATTCTCAACCATACTCACTATATATGCGCCATACCATACAAACATTCACTAATTAATTAATACCACATTCAACCAACCTGCATACAAAACCAATTCATACGACATTCAACCAGCCTGCCCACTTGACCACTTCATACAACCTGCGCGCCAACATGTACACTTGTGCCATTCATTCTACATGCGTGCTAAAAAAAAACTTCACAAAACGTTTAGGTAGTATCAAAATGACAAAACGAACCCAGAAATGAAAAAAATGAAAAAATAATGAGGAACAATTTCAACAATATAATTATAATTAGACTACCTAGACAATCCGACAATCCATATGTACCATAAAAGATTTGTCCTAGGCTTAAAGAAATAAAAATCAGAATTCTATCTTAATAATCTGTTACCAGAGATATTTAAAGACATAAATAAGTTGATTATATAAAACAATGCAAATGAGCTTAGTTTATTAGTGATAAATTTATCCAAGTTATCATAAGCAATATCTTATGTCATTCTGTATCTTCTCCAGATTCAGAATGACAATAGTCACTACTTTTTCCAAACAGTTATTCTTGGTTTAAAAAAATCAAAAACGTCGTTGATATTTTTCACAATTTTAATGTTGTTAACTTGTCTTTATCTGCTTTTGAAACTTATCTCGTGTTAACACGAGCATATAGTTTAAATCTAGATGAATCAAGTTTTTGTTGAAAATTGATTTACCAACGTACTCAGCAACAACATGAAGAGAACTTAACATTTCTTTGCTTCGTTTATCTGAACTCATTGACATGACAGTTGTCATTTCATAATATTCTGTGCTTCTGGGTGTCAAAAAAATTTGTTTTGAAATTAAAATCATATTTAAACAATGATATAGCACATATTTTGTCCATCATCTCTTTTAAGGTTTATGGAAACATAACAATTTGCCTCTGAAAATTGCCGATACTATACAAACCTCTATTCCAAAGAGTCAGAAAAAGTTTTTCCTAGCATAACTTATTTGAAATATTATTTTTTAGAATAAATATTTGGAGCATTGTTTAAGGCTTCACATGTTTGTTTGATTGCTAAGAAGGTTCCCTTATTTATGCTAGACATCCTGCAGTTTTCCCATTTTTTCTAAAGAAAATTTAAATTCAATGATGAATGACAATTTCCAATTATTTATTGTTGTAACTGGTAACAGGCTCTGTACAATTTAGATGGTTTTCTTTCTTTTTGTATGCTGCGAAGAAATGAAATCTTTTCTTGATTTATTTATTAAATGAGAGAAATTAAACAATGAATTTTTGAAAATATGCTCTTGTTTAACATTCCTACATTAAATATTATGTTTTATGGTTGAATATTATTTGGATATTTTATAATTTGAAGTCTTAGATGTGAACAACATGTGGAATGATGCAGAACTGAAGTTATTATTTGAACAGATCCAATCCAATTTACCGCCCCATGATAAAAAAAATTATTTAAAAATGGTTAAAAAAATTGATTGGTCAAAAATTAAAGTTTCAACGTACACACCGACTGAATGTCAAGAGCAGTGGACTTCTGTCACTAAGAAGGTAACTTAGAATAACATGCTGGTACATTTCTAATGTTTAAATTTGTTTCATGTGATTTTGTAGCTGAGGAAGTTCCGAACAACTTCAGAGATGTTGGCAGATGCATACGAATGGATGAAGGATCCCAGGAGGAGGGTAGGTCCAAATATTTAACTTTTACACTTACCATGCATCTGCACTCTAAATAATAATATTTCAAACAGTTTGCCAATCACCCTGAATTACCAAAAAAGCCTTTGTCGCCGTGTTTTCAGTACATAAATTGTCAAAGAAACAAGTTTTTGAAACATAATCCTGATAAAACCATCATTGAAGCATCCAAGTTTTTAGCCAAAAAATTTGGAGATTTACCCGAGCATAAGAAGGTTAGTGCATCCAAATGTAGGCTTGCAATTATTTTATTTTTTTGTATTTTTTTTAATTTATATTGCAAAATTAATTTTATGCATATGCCATTAATATTTTTTTTTGTTTTGGAATTACCGTTGTCATTCTGCATAGAAACGGTAAATTCCATAAAAGATTATAATTTTTTAAAAATTATAATGCGTTCAATTTATTTATTTATGTTTCTTCATTATTTAAATTATTTAATTAATAAAGCTACTGCCGATACTATAAACATTCTCTACATTGTAAATTCACGCTTCTAAATGCTTATGAACGTGAATGAACAAAACAGCAGCCACAGTTTTCATCAAATTCTTTGTTTCGCTGGTATAAAGATTGAATTTTATTGAAACGTATCATGCACCATAGTTATTGATTTCTAGATTACTCTAAAATGAAAGTCTCAAAAATATTAAAATATATTCAACAGTGAGTAATTGTAATGCCACTGCTTATTCAGAGTTACCCAAAATATCTTTGTTTTTGCGTTTTCAACATATAACAACAACACACGTTTAGACGACATTTTCCCCGAGATCGGGGGCTGCCGTTTGGCTACCTATGATGAAACCGAAATACCCCTCGACGCCATTCACATCTGTCACTCGCTTCAGTATCACGCAACCCTGCTTTCACTTTCGCTTTCAACATATAAATTGTCAAAAAAGTAATTGAAATGTAATCCTACATGTGAAAAGATATTTGAAAAGTTATCCTACATATCAAAATAATAATTGAAACCGTGTGAAAAAAGTATTCAAAACGTAATTGAGATTCAAACATTACTGAAACGTCCAAGTTTAGTCACTCATAGTCATCATCATTTACTTAAACTTCAGTTTGACAGCCATAGAGTTTGTAGTCCATAAGTTAGGATGTTCATTTGGCAAGTCTTTAAAACTTTTAATAGTTTTTGTGACTCGTTTTCATTTATTTGTATTTTCCAATTTTAGGTGTTGTAGTTTTTATAATGAATCTATTTATAATTTGTGTTCAATGCATGGAAAGCTTTTAATAATTTTTTTATGTTAATTTACCCATAGCAAAAGTACATAGATAAATATAATGAAGAAAATGCAATATGGAAAGAAGCCTGTGCCAAATTTCAGTGAGTATTTTTCAACTCTAGTTTTTAATTTTTTCATTATCAGTTATTATTTATTTAATGTTGGCTTTCCACTGTCCTAGTTTTGATCATCCGGGAAGTATGATTCAACATCCACCGAAGATGATGACACCCATGATGCTCTACATTAAAAAAATGTGTGAAAAAAATAAGGATTGTCAAGTTTGTGCATCTTGATTATTTCCATTTTGCAAGTTGCTAAAATGAGGTGGCCCTGAAAAATTGTGGGCTCTCACTTGATAACTTGCTATATTATTGAGTTGAGTGTGTACAAGGTTGCAGTCCACAAGCAAGGTCTGCTAGCAGTATTCGCACTTTACATTTAATTATTTGTTCTTTAAATGCAGACATGTAACATTTGATCATTTCTTTTGTGAATCCATCAGATGTTTCATCTGCTATATTACAAGTTGATGCATAAGGAACTAGCCTGTTAAGTGTGGCGTCGTCAGTTTTTGCATCTGACATTATTAGTTACAACATTTGAATAGTTATTCTTCATGTATCCCGTCCGTTTTTCCTTGTAAATAAGCTCTCGATATGTTATTAGTTTCTATGAGTTTGTTCAAATACAAATGTTCAAATTTATTAAATTTGCAGGAAAGTCGCAAAGTGTTGCACGACCAGTACAAAAACCGATGGTTCAAGGATTTATCCGATAAAAAAAAAATGAAATATATAAACAAAGCTCTTAAATTGAAAGAGCGTTACGATGTATGCGAGCATTACAATTTTTTATTCTGCCTTTTTTATTAAAACGTTTGTATATTATTATTATTATTTCTTCACTTATTTTTCATTTTCTTGGTAGACTGAACTCAAGATATTCTGTGAAAATAATCCAACTTTTGTCAAAAAAAACATCAAACATGTTTTGACAAAATCAGAACAAAAACTCAAAGAAAAATTTGATGGAAGGCCTCTACAACCACCAATGTTAGTAATGTCAAATTCGGTTTATTTTTCATATTTAATATGAAACTGTTGCTAAAGTATATCAATTGAGCGTTTGATTAAACTGGTCAATCTTTCTTCTTTAAGCAGTTCAACTGATGGTAAAGATTCATAGCAAATGTGTTGGAAAAATTTGAAGAAATATTTAAAAGGTATATATATAAATATATATATATATATTGTTTTGTTTTTGAGAGAACGCTTATGAAATTGTTTAATTAGTGCTTAATAAATGTTTCTTAATAATAATAATATATATATATTGATGAAAATCACGGCATGTTCTGCGTTAGTTAACTTCCTGTTTAATTTGTGTAAAAGTTGAGCCAGGTAATTGTGCAATAGAAATCAGTAACGATTTTTATTTTTTTCAGGTAATTGATCAACCATTTACTATTTTGTCATTTTCAAATTTATTTTCTATAAGTTAAAAACGGTAATTAAATATCAAAAACGAAAAAGATGATTATAGTAAATTTGTGTATAGGTAGATGACATCTTTATAGATTGAATTATGGCGCATCTCAGAGGGTGAAAACTGTATAATCTAATTTGGCGAATAATGAAGAGGTCAACGCAATCCAGTACCTGGCTCATCCTGTCCAATTTGCTTCAACATTTTTTTGGTGTTCAATTAGACCTTGTTAAATTTAAGCATAAATACAAGAATTTTTGAACAAGAATAATCAATTTAAAAGAATAAATTTTACAAATAAACTGTCTGTAAAACTGCCAGTTTTATCAGTGATGCAAATCTAATAATGTATAATTTTATATCTACTTGGTTCCACTTGTATGATCTAATATGTACTTCACAAATACTCAGGTAAAAATGACAAGGTTTTCTCTGGCCGGATAAAAACCGTTTGTGCTGTGGTGTCAAGAGCTAAATGTTGACATTTGAAGCAATATTGTTTTTTATAAATTATGTTGAATAAACTTTGATTGTTTTATTAATTGAAAAGAATGTTTTTAAATGGTTTCGTTTGAATATATTGAAACCAATTAAAATAGATGAAAAGATGTCTGAAACAATACGACGCTTGAATAAAACTAGATTAAGACTTCGCCGTGTTCTAATCTTACCCGTCATCAATCCATTACTTTTCAGTTATAGATCAATTAAATTTATACAGCCGAATTTCTAAAAATTCAACTGGACTCAGCATAAAATTCTCTAAACATACAATTATGAAAAAGTACATAAAATGAAATACAAAAAGAAAAAACATATTGAAAACACTAAAATTAGTGAAATGATTAATAATCAAGTAAATGTATCAAACACAAAATTATCTAAAAAAAATCAATCTTATTTAATCTCTAAATTAAACCATATGGCAAGCAAACAATAATCCAACCAAAAAACAAGCAGCTAATTAATGAAACATGTCAACAAATAGTCGTTAAACAAAAAAATTACTCAAAATATAAAGACCCCAGCTAAAATAAAACAAGCAAGTTCTTGACGGAGCTTTTATTTTAAGAGTTTTGATCTTTCAGTCTTCGTTCAATGCTCAATGATATAGTCTGCAGGTTTTAATGTTCTCAGAAGTTCCTAGACTTTCTAGACTTTGGGCCGCGACCCCTTTAGTACCGTAACTCAAAATGTAGAAACCTCCGATTAATTTCTTTCATACGTTTAAACAACAGTTGAATAATGAATGCCGAAAATATTTCATGTCTGAAAACAAGTAGATTAAACTTTTTTTAATTTCAAAACTTATGTATTTTTTAATTGGTCCCAGACGACTGTCAGTTTGAGATGTTTCTCAAAATTAGGCTAGCGAGTAAAAAAAAATGAAATTTTAATTATTTTACATTTTTGAGCTAGTTTTATTAAAAATCTTTGTTCCTTAACTTGTTTTTTCTCTGTACTGTGGCACCTTTCTTTTTCATCTCATTAACTCACGCGTACCTTGTGATATCCTATGCTGTACTTTTTCAAGTACACCTATCTTCCGATTTACACGGCACTTGTTTTACACGTTTTCGCTTTTACACAGTTTTCCAAATAAGTTTTTTTTGTTTTTATCGCACTCTACTAAATGCTGCTGTGATTGAACACGTGCTTGTTGGCTCAATATGAAGAAGTTTACAAAGATCTTACAAAAAATTCAAAGCAATTGTTAATAACCGATTTTATTACCATCTCTCATAATGTAAATATTTCTGCTTCAAACTTCGAGTCGGCACAAATAACTTCGAGTGATGAAAGTGAATTCGAACCTTCGATTCCGAAAAAAAGAATGAGAGTAATTTCTGACAGTGATGGATGATAATAAAACACCTTTGGTTTTATTTTTTGTTCTTCTGTTTAACGTATTGTAATTAAATAAAAAAAACAGTGTTTCCGTAATATATGACATATTTTAACCTGTCAGCGCATTTTATTTTTATTTCTGTGTACACTTAAAAATATTGAAAAAAATCACAACTGTTAAATAGCAAAATTATGCATTTTCAGCAAGCTTTTCGATTTACACGGTTTTCTTGCCAACATTTACAGAGAAGCAATCACCCCCCCCCCCATCGATCCGCCACGTTACTTATCAAATTTGATTTCTTTAAAATAAAATTTGTCTCTTATTTAAGTTTTTTCCCTATTTCTTTTTCTTCTTTTTTTCGGTAGGGGAGCGATCGCCCCCCCCTCCCTATGAATCCGCCACTGCTCGCAGCATTTAATTTCTGGAAACCAAAGATCTCTACTACCTTTACTTTTTTTTCTTTTTACTTCTTAGTTATTTTAATTTTTCATAACCCTCTATTATGTGCAACATATATAAAGTTAAAATTTAAACGCTCGTTAATCTATTGTATGCTATTCACTGTTAAAGTTTAAAATTATTACGGCGCGCTTTTGTGCATTGGGTGACGTGATCATGCGATGGTTTGATGGTTAAAGTGCATGCCTTGTTGATGCAGTGTCAGGAGTCGAACGTAGCATGCAAAAGTGTGTGATGCTTTGATTCACGTGTATTTATACACTTTGTGTTCGTTTTAATAATAACGCGCCTCAGTCGCTTACCATGGCGCTATATAAAATGACGTAATTAATATTATTTTTATTATCGGCTGCTCAAAGTTATAATGCTTACCGTCAAGGCCGATAGCATTATCTTTTTTCCAGAAACCCTCAATCAATCAATCAATTAGCTTATAAAGCGCTATTTCCGCGATGTTCAACAGCGCTCCTCAATGAATTTTGAAAACAGATGGGTCCTGAGATCCGCTCTGAACTTCGCAAGTGATGGAGAAGTAGTCAGAGAAGTAGGTAGAGAGTTCCAGAGAAAAGGACCGGAAAAAGCAAAAGCAGATTTGGCAAAAGAGTGTTTAACACGAGTTAAGAAAAAGCGAGAAGAAGACGATCGTAAACCGGGGCGTTTAGGTTCAATTAATATATCTGATAAATACTTAGGAAATAATTTAGATTGAGACTTATACATGAACGTGCAAATTTTAAAAATTATTCTATATTTTATAGGTAGCCAGTGCAAGAGAACCAGATATGGAGATATATGAGAAAAGAAAGGGGCACGTGCAACTAGACGAGCAGCAGAGTTAAAAGCTTTACTTAAAGGATAGAGTATAGAGTCAGGAAGACCATAGTAGAGCGAGTTACAATAATCAATCCTAGATAAGACTAACGAAGTAACAAGAAGGAGAAGAGTAGGATCATCAAGAAAAGGCAAAAGTTTTTTTATTCTACGTTGATGAAAGTAAGAGCTTCTAGCAACACTATTAATCTGAGAAGAGAGAGACATAGTAGAATCAAAGATAAAACCTAGACTACGAAACTTATGAGAGACATCATGAGTTTTAGAATCAGGTAAGATAGGAGGAATAGTAATAGAGTGTTTAGATTTATTAAAACAAATTAATCCAAACTTAGAAGGATTAAGTTTAAGACACATAGAGTCAGACCAAGCGATAATTGAAGAAAGACATAGAGATAAATTATGAAGAACACTATTGAGATTAGATGGAGGAAAAAAAGTATAAATGTAAGAATCATCAGCATATAGTTGACTAGAGAAAGAAAAGTTATTAATAATACGAAGTAGTTCAGAAGTATAGAGTATAAATAGAAGAGGGCCAAGGATAGAACCCTGAGGTACCCCGAAAGTAAGAGTAGAGGAGTTAGAAGTAGAATTATTGAGAACAACAGAAGAAAAACGATTACAGAGATAAGAAGAAAACCAAGATAGACAAGAATCAGTAATATTAAAAGAAAGATGCAGCAGTCTCAAGAGAATAGTATGGTCAACAGTATCAAAAGCTGAGGAAAAGTCAAGAGCAAGAAAAAGAGTAAGATTACTATTGTCACTAGAGAGAAGGATATCATTGTGTATTTTAAGTAAAGAAGTTTCAGTACTGTGTGCAGGTCTGAAACCAGATTGAGATACAGGTCGCAAAGAGTTAAAGTCTAAATAGGATGACAGTTGATTAAAAACAACTTTTTCTATTATTTTAGAAATGAAAGTAATATAAGTTACAGGTCTATAATTAGATAAAGAGGTAGGATCTAGGGATGAGTTTTTAAGAATAGGAATAACAATAGAATTCTTATAAGAAGTAGGAAATTTAGAGGTGGAAAGAGATAAATTAACTAATTTGAGAATGATTGGATAAAATATTGAAGAAAATTCTTTAAGTAAATTAGAAGGAAGTAGATCTAGAGAACAGGTTATAGACGACATAGAATTAATAATTTTAGTTAGTTCTAAAAGATTTATTGGAGTAAATACAGAGAAAGATTCAGTAGTAAGTTTAGTAAAGTTATGAGAAGAAAAATTAGAATTAGATGTTCTTAAAGAAGTAATTTTATTTACAAAAAAGTCATGAAACTGTTGAGCAGAAAAAGATGAGTGAGAAGATTTTTTATGTAGAAGTTTAGATAGAACAGACCACCTATTTTTAGATGTTGAAGCAGATGTTATAGAATTTCTAAGAAAAGTAGAGTGTTTAGAGAATAGTAGATATTTATAATTAATCAATTCAGATTCATAGATAGAATAAAGAAAG